TGATTAAAATATATGCTCCAAGTTCATCTTTGAAGGTTATTTTTTTTAATCAACAATTAATATTCTTATAAATTTTTTGTTGAGCTTGTGTCTATTTTTTTTTAAAAAAAATACGAATTCTCATTATATTTAATATAAAAAAAATCAAACGTGAAAATATCATTGTTTACCAAAAAAAGAAGAAAAGAAATGAAATGAAATAAATGAAAGAAAACAAAAAGAAAATAAAAATGTAAATAGAACAAGAGTTTAAGTTTATTAGGTATAAATAAGAAGTTTAATATTAATTTGACATCTATCTCCCCATACAAAACTAAAATGTTCGAAGTAATTTATAATTTTAATCTAATTGACAGTGTAATCAATCAACGCAACATATGAAACATATATTCTTAAATTGATAATAATTAGAAGAAAGTATATTTAAAAAAATATTTTTAGAGTTAGGGAGCATCTTACTAATAGTAAATTTAATGAAGTATGTGATTGTTAATATTTTTATTAAAAATCGACTTAAGATTTCGACGACTGAAAAAAAATATTAAAGAATTGAAAATGATTCAGAAAAAGACTCTGTCAAGGAGAGAACAACATTAGTAATTAAATAACAATAAATTAAAAAAAATATTATACAATTAATATTATTAATCCATTTTACTATTTATTATAAATAAAATATAGTTAATATTGGAGCTTTGAAGGGTTAAATATAGATGAAGCGCACCAAAGAAAAATTTTATTTGTGTTTTTAACTTTCTTAAAACGTAATTACAAAAACTTAAATACTAATCAAATAAAATTTGACGATTAAATTTTTTTAACTCAACAAATAAGTATTAAAAAATTATATATTCTAAGAATTTTACAGCTTCCTGAAGTTGGCCGAACATTTGGAAGCACTAACGATGAATCATATGTCATTTTGAGTGCTTCGTTAGTGCTTCAATCCGTATATTCACCTAATTTAAGGAAAAAAAGTTACAAGCAAAAATAAAAATTTGTGCCAACTTCACGCTTAAAAGTTGATTGAAAGCACTAACGATGAAACTTATATCATTCTTTAGTGCTTAGTTAGTAGAGGTAAGTTCTTCAATCTCTTTTGTAGCCGAATTTAAGAATAAAAAGTTATTGGTGAAAAAAACAAAAATAAACAAATATTAGCGACGTGCCAAAACAAAAACTAGAGTAGTAGTAAACATCCGGTCGCCATTATTTAGTGCTTAATTAATGTATTTAAATTCCGTTATTAATTTAGTTAACCGCCATATGGAAAAAAAGTTATAAGCTAAATAAAAATTATGAAGTCACGATTTAAGCGTGAAGTTGGCCGAAGTTTTGGAAGCGCTAACTATGAAACTTATTTCATTCTTTAGTGCTTCGTTAGTAGAGGTTAGTGATTCAATCACATTTGTAGCCGAATTAATAAATATAAAGTAATTGGCGAAAAAACAAAAATAAACAAATATTGGCGACGTGCCAAAACAAAAACTATAGTAGTAGTTAACATTAGGTTTTCGCCATTATTTAAAGCTCAATTTGTAAATTTGAATTCCGTAATTAATTTGGTTAACCGCCTTTAATAAAAATTGTAATAAGCTAAAGAAATGTTTAGTTGTCAAATTATGGCCAGAAATTATTAAAGCACTAACGATTATATTTATATCCTTCTTTAGAGCTTCCTTAGTAGAGGTTAGTGCTTCAATCAGTTTAATAGCCTATTGACAAATGGAAGGCAAACACACCCATTAACACCGTATTACCATCAATCATCACACACAAAAATTTTTTCACACCTTTAATCTCTAAATAAGACAGATATATCAGTCAATCCACCTTTAGATTGCATTCAACTCTTTCAATTATCTGACAGACTTGGTGGTCATGAATGGTTAGAATCACTCCCTAGTCCCAACCTTGGTAATCTCTTATCAGATGAACAACTGAGAGTAACCATTGGTCTACGTCTAGGTTGCGATATAGTACAGCCTCATGCCTGCGTCAAATGCAAATCACCCGTTGATTCAAAGGGTAGACATGGCTTAAATTGCATTTTTAGTCAAGGGCGACATCAACGCCACTCAGCTGTAAACCATATAATAAATAGAAGCTTAACAGCTGCACACATTCCTAACAATCTCGAACCATCAAATTTATCTCAAGTAGATGGTTTAAGACCTGATGGTATGACAACCATACCTTGGGCCCTCGGCAAATCACTCATATGGGACTACACGTGTGTTTCATCATTCCCTTCAAACATAAATTTCAATTTAATAACACAGGTTGAAATTAAAAAGATAAACAAATACAAAAATTTTAAAAACTTTTTATTCACTCCAGTTGTGACTTCTACTAACGGGCATTTTTCCCCTTCAACATTTTTGTTTTTAAAAAATCTTGCTAATAAAATACGACTTTTAACAAATGAACCAAGAGAATTCCTTTTTATTCGACAAAAAATTCAAATAGAAATTTTTAGACACAATTATGGTTCCTTTTTGGGGACTCAATTATAGAATTTTATTTTTAATTATATAATTATAATTTATAAATTATAATATTTTTAATTAGGTGTTATGTGAAATAAATAAATATAATGTTAAAAAAAAAAAAATTTAAAATAACTAATATAATCAAATTTTTGATTTGAATTTATAACGAGAGATATACTTTTCTTTGAGATTTTGTTGATTCATCTAGAATCTAATTTTTATCTAGAATATTCTCTTTATAAATATTTAATAGGGCTAATCCATTTAAACGTTTTTCACCGGTAGTATTTCTTAAATAGGTTTTTAACCTTTTTAAAGTTGAGAAAGACCTTTCATTAGCGCAGGTACTAATTTGTAAGTTAGCTAAAATAATTAATGTTTTAATATTAAACAGGGAATCTAAAGTGCAATTACACATGGAAAGGACCTGCCGAGCATTCTATGGTCTCAAAAAATATTCTATTCTGTTAAGATTTACGAAAATCTGACATCACAAAGTAACTTATTATATGAGTACTAAATCAGTAGCGTAAAACTCTGAGATTTTCTTAACGTCCTATCATGTTACAAGTGTAATCAACAGTTTAGACTCAACCTGCAAGAAAATAATCTTTGTAAAATAAAATTATAACTAATAAATCTTTCCTTTAATTGATATAAAAATGTATCAATAAGATAAATAAAAGTGTGTGATGAAACCAATTTTTATTATAAATTTAACAACTTTTTACCTTTTGTACCGCAGTATATATATTTTCCAAAACAAACAATTAATCGTCGTACACAATTAATTAATATATATTTTTTAAATTCATCATATATTTAATTGCCTTTGAGGCTAATTGTTTCTATTACAAAGTTATTATTTTATAAAATCCTCAATCGTAGATACATTAATATTTGAACGATTGGATTGTCTAGAAACTACTCTAGATTTAAAAATTTCAATCCCAAACTATTTAACAAAATTTTTCATCTACATTCTCTCTGATATTTGTTAATATTTCAACAATATCCTTTGTTCTATTCATAACTTCCCTTAAGCCCAAATCAATTTATTGTAGAATTTTGCTAAAATCATATGAATAATGAAATAACATTTTCAAAATGTTTTCAGGAGAGGGGGGGTTGCCTACATCACTGTACTGACCCTATATAAATCTTTGGAAAATGAGATTGCTTTGCTTAAGTCTAGGGAGAGAAATATTAAACTTGTATAGCCCTCCTTTTGACTCAACAATAACATATAAAACTCTTCATCATTAGCCCTAATTTCCTTGAGTTCTAAGAAGATGCTCTCCGCTATTCTTATCGTCTCGCTTGCTTCTGGGGATATATCTCTTTCAGGTCATCGTGATATTTCAGTAAGAGAATGAATCTTCTAAGTATGTAAGCTGTTACTTCTTGATGGCGAATACTCATTTCTCATTTGAATACTCATTTCTCATTTAAAAAACTGCCCAAATATTAATTTAGTATAACTAAACAAACCTTTTGTTAGCTCACAATTATTTCATCAATCATTCCTCCATCAATTCTTTTAATTATTTGTATTTATTATGGGAGGAGTTTTAATTACTAACAGTAAATAATATAAAATTTTATAAAATTATCTTTTATACTTTTTTGCTTTTTTGTAAGATGACAAGGATTTTCATCACCATAAATATGTTTAAAAAGATTTCATATGTCCATAATTATTATTTGATTAGAAATTTGAAAATGGTAGATAAATATCACGCCACTAAAAATTTAAAAATAATAGACAAATATTACGCCAAAGAAAAATAAAATCAAAATTAATTGATTAAATAACTTTATGGATTAATGTGATAAATAAATGTAATTAAATATATATTTAATAAGAAATAGGTATAAATATCATAAAATATAAATTAATACATACAATAATATTGTTTTTTAAAAATATTTCCGGCAACTGCATGTTTTGGCTTTTGGGGAGGACGGATTTTGCCCCCTTGTCACCCCTCCCATCCCGCTGCGAGGAACCTGAACCCATCCATTTAAATTATTCTACATCAGAGATCTTAAAAGTTCGACCTGTGATCTGTGTTCCAAATTTGTAAAATACAGCCCTCTTATCAAAATATATATATATATTTTCTTAATTTTAAGCTAATAATTTGAATTTAAATATTTCTATTTGAAAATAAATTACTATATTCTTATTTTCTTCTAAAGAGTTATTTAATTTTAATACTTAATCTATAAATAAAATTGTAAATTAACAAAAATAAAACAAATATTTTTGATATGTTTGCAAATTCACAAATATCAAGCACATCTGAATAAACGGTTGTTGTAGAAATAGATAGGCTTGATGAAGGAATATAAATGCCCTAATTGATATTATGAATAATTTGATAGACTTTGTAGATCTCTATTCTACAGTTTCACATAATTCATATTTTATTTTTCATTATCATAGAAGGACAGAACTATTAAGTGTGAAGATTTTATCAATCACATTTTTAAGTGCGGTTTACCTTTAGCATTTATCAATTTATCTTCTATCTAATTTTTCCATCCCACATGACTGTTGAGGATAAAAGGTTAGTAGAGTTATAGATGTTTAATTATAGTTTAGTCTTACTATATATTATAGTATTCATATTTTATAGCATGCTTTTTTGCTATTTTTATGTCATTTTTATGTTATTTTTATTATATATATGTGATTATAACTTATTTATTTGTTAATCTATAATACACTTTCTATACTTTATAATTTTGACATTTAACTATATTTAATTTATATCAAAATTTAGCATTTTTGAAAATGGGAAGGAAAATTCTGAGACAAAATTGTCCAAAAAAGCATTAAAAAAATTGCAAAAAGATGAAATTAAAACTAAAAGAAAGCAAGACATGGCCTCACAAGTTTATATTTTAATTTTATAATTCTAATTTTAAAATTTATATACATAATTATCAATATGCATAATATACATGATTTGATTTTGTAAAGATGTTATAATTTGTTTCAGAGCAAAATGTTTCAAAATATTCCCTAGCAGGACTCTAATATTAACAAACAATTTACATTGTTTATTGAGAATACCGAAATAATATATTTGTCTATTCATTCATTGTTATATAGAATGTTTTATTTATTTTTTATTCAATATAATTTAACATATTAGAATGGTCAAAATAAGGATGAAAATTCTAATTGCTTAAATGAAAATGAAGAAGAAAAGGATATTGCAATGGGTAATTATGGACAATCAGACCCAACTCTTCTCTGTTTATATGGAAAGGAAATCATCCCATTATCCAATGTCAATGAAGGAATGGATGGACAAATGGTATGGATCAGAGCTAGATGGCAAAATTCTAGATCTAAAGGTGCATAAAAATTATTAAATTTTATAATAATTACAAATTCTATGAAACAAAGATCTTGCTTGATATTAGTGTAAATATATACTTTTAATTTTAACCTATGCTATTGTATAATGCTTAACCTTAATAATTTTTAACAAATTCAAAACAAAATTTATCTACAAATTTCTAAACAGATTAACAAAGAAAAAAGAAAGCATTGTTGAGTTTTTTTAATTTAAAATTTTGTTACAAAATTAACTTTTATTATGATAAATAAACTTATAATAAAATAAATGATAACCTTACAAGATTGAAAAGGCAATTTATATTAAAGTAATAATCAAAAAATATTTCTGTGGAACATGGAGTCTGTAATGTTTCTAAAATATTTTAAACATTGTAGTGAGAAGGCTTAAGGGTAATTTTTAAAACTATGGTCTGAATTTTAAATATTTTTCAAGTGAATTGAGCAGAGCAGGCTTCTTGGGTGGGCAGGTTAAAAGATTTTAAAACAATAAGTGGGTGGGCCTGTTGGCTAAACTGTCCATTCAACTTGTATTGATTATACGTTTTTATGTATCTGTTTTATTATCATCATCATCAATAAACAGGTAAACAATGTTTCGCTATACTGAGACAGCAGGAACACACAATTCAATGCGTTATAGCTGTTAATGAGGTTAACATTAGCAAGAGAATGGTCAAGTATTTGTCCAAGTACAATATTGTTCTTCTATTCTTGCTCATTCTATCTAATTTTCAATATTTTTTCCTTATCCCAAAAATCTCAGAATATCTATTTTAGAGGCTTTTTCTTTGGGGAAGGGGGGGGGACTTGTTTTTAAAAGAAAAAGAAAAAAAGATAATAACTAAAATTGATATAAAAGACATTTTTTTCCACTAATGTTTCATCTACAATTAATCGAAAACAATTCTCTAGAAGGTGTGTTCTTTATTTGAATAAATGTGTAAAATATGTTGCACTAGGAAATGCATTTATAAATTTATTTTATTTTTTCGATAATAGTATCGAGATTCTTACGTTTTTTTATTTAAAAGATGGATTTATCCCTCAGACTTTACTAAATATTTGTCCTGCTTAACCAGTAACCATATTTATATGATAATTAAAAATTTAATAACTAAACTAAAAAAAATTATCTTATAAATACAAAAAAAAAATCAAAAATTTCTTGCTTTTGAATTAAAGAATAAATAATTAAAAAATAAATTTTATGTTTCGTTTATTTTTTATTGAGTCCCTATTATTTTTACAGGGTTTTGAAAAAAAAAATGGTCAAAATATTTTTGAAAATTTTGTTGAAGAAGAGAAATTTTTGATCAAATTCTACCTAAAATTTCTATAATTCTTTATAAATAAATCTTTTGTAATTTTTTATGCACAAATAATCTTTACAAGATGAAAACCAAAATTTTTTTTTAATTATAAATTTTATTTAAAAGGGGGGTTCCATTTTCAGAAATTCCAATAATCTAACAATTTAAACAATCTTTTTCCCATGTAAATTTATATCAAAACTTTCATAATTATAATAAAAAAAATAATTTTTCATTACTTCTTTTTACCAGGGATGTGAACCCTCCTTCTAAAAAAATGGGTTTGGGTTTGGATTCAATAAAAAATCCCTGAACCTGGTTTGGGTTCAGGTTTCGGATACCAGTAAAATAATGACTTATCGCAGGAAATGTTTGTTTTATAGTGATTTATGTTAGTGAGTGTTAAGTATTGATATATTAACTTTTTTTTAATGAGAATGTGTTAAAGAAAAATTATTGTTATCATTATAATTATGAAAGTTTTGATATAAATTTATATTGAAATTATTTAAATTACGGAAGGCATGGGAGTTAAATGAAAGTTTAAATTAATTTTATTTGTCGTTATTTCAAAATCAAAACGTATTAATTACTAAATATAATAATAAAATCGTCAAATATATACATTTTATTTAATTGTTGATTTACATATGTACAAAAAAATTTATTTTTTAAGGTAAAACATTTTTTTTTACAAAAATTAAATTATTTTCAAGTAAGAAAAGTATCCAAATAATTTGAGTAAAAAAATAACCTTTAAAATAAAATAAAAAAAAACTATTTTAAATTTATTTAACAAAAATATATAAAAAAACTGATATTTAAATTGTTAGCGTATTTCAAATTCTGCAGGTGAAATCCTATGTCCCACAATTCATAAAGCAAAACTAATAGTTCTCCCAAATTATCAGAGTTGTTAAAAGATACTTTTTAAATGGATCTAAATACAGATACATCGTCTAAAATAATATCTAGATACCGATATTTTATTCAAAAATCTATCTAGATACAGATACAGATACCACATTTTTATTTCTAGATCCTTTAACAACTCTGCAAATTATAATATTATCAATTCCAAACAGGAGTTATTTATAAATAACATAAATTTATAAATCTATATTAAAATAAAATAAAATGTAAATAAAATGTAAATAACGTGTAAACAATTTTAAAAAGGTTAATAATAAGATTTTTTTAAAAACGCATAGGGGGAGCAAAAAGAGGCCCTCAGGAACTAAGATAACTGCCTCTGAGCCCGGCAATTTGAGTTGATTGTAACATTTTAAAAGGGAATCCGTAATCCTCATCAATAAAATCTTTTAAAAATTATACCATAAAAATAATTAGGTATAAAGCGAAAATCTGAAAAATTGCGGTACTCTCTAATTTTTGACCCTTTATCTACGATGATTAGATGAATGTTTGGGTTAGAGGAAAACTGGGAGGCCCAAATTTTTAAAATATAGAAAAAAAATTTATTCGATATTTTATTAAAACGTTCGTTTTGACTTTTTCTTTTCTCTTCAAAAGCTTGCCGAAGGAGAGTATAGTCGACGTGTGGGGTAAAATAAGCTCCCTCCCGGTCGATATACCACGGATCGAGAGCTGCACCTTCAATTCCCTAGAATTGCATGCCGTCAAAGTACGCTTAAAATTTTTTTTATTGGTCACGATATATTATAGCTTACATAACGAGGTTGTGAATTTTATAAATTTTTATTTGTCAATTAGTAAATTTTCTCCAGAATATATAATTTTCTACATATATGACTTTTGGTTTAGAATATGTGGCAGCGATAATATCCTTTCACTTTCCCTTATGAAGTGAAGTTGGATTTAAAGAGCCAAGGCAACAATCTAATATTAAAAAATATTCCTTGCTAATATCCGGGTCTGGTCGGAAAATCCACCCAATTTGAATATTTAAGACTAAGGTGTACCCCATTGAGTGTCTGATCCACGGGAAAATAAATTAGAGAAAAATATTGCCTTGATTTTTATAGGAGGAAAATAGGAAGAAAAAAAAATTAAGAAATTTTGTCCCAAACGACCTAAAGGGAAAAATGTTGAATATAAGGTTCGAAGTTCGAAATAGTGGTGTCTCTCCAAATCCGACCAATCCGAGTTCGGTCTGATCGGGCAAGTGGTCGCATAGCGATAGCGATAAAGATCCAGTTCAGTTTATAAAAAAAAATTCCGTATTCCTTTTCGAACCGGACCCAACCCTGACCTTCCTTTTTAGACTCACCCATGGCCCACATCTCGCGATATTCTTAGCTGAAGTCGTTATATTTAAAAGAAATATCACCCGTAAACTTTGTGGGTAAAGAAGGAATAAATAGGTTTTCGGTTAGAATATAAAAAAAAGTGAGTTCCTAATTTCCGGTTTTTTAAACTTTCACGCGGTTTTTAGAGAATTCTAGTTTCCGGTTCTGAACCCTCTAAAATGAAACGCCATTTTGATACAATATGTTGTTATGACCGGAAAAGGTTATTTTAGGAATGTTTAAAATGAGATTCGGATTTGGTTTTTATAAAAAAAAATTTTTTAAAAAAGAGGATTTCGAATTCCTAGATTTATCTCTGATAAAAAAATTTCTCAAGGTTTATACATTGAGTTTGACCCGGGTCAACCAACTGCCTTTACTCGTAGAAGACGCGAGTCGCACCCTTGCACCTATTCTGGAACCTGATAGCACTTCCGAATCCGAAGAGGAAAACGCGCTTAAAGAAGGTTTTTAACTTTCCCTTTTTCTTTTTAATATTTCTCATTATTCCTTTTTTGCCCTTCCTCTCTGTCCTATTGCTATATAATTAAACTATCACGATGGGAAGGCGCATGTAATTCCATCATATATTGAGTAAATATACAAGTTTTACGAAACCCTCGTATGGATGATACTTTGCAGATATTTAAATTGGAATTTTTACGTTAATTTGTAAACCCAAGAAACAATAACATAATGAGCGCTAAACCCGGCTTTGGAGAAACTCGTCCTTCTACTGATAACTTGGGGTTAGAGAGATATCGCGGTCTTTAGCTAGGGAGTAGGGAGGTTTTCTGCTGGGGAGAGGAGATCATACTATATATATCCTTTAATCGTTTTATTCAAAACAAACACTTTTTTTTTCTTTATTTTTTCATATTTTGCAATTTAAAGTTGATAATTTTAAATATGAACAATTAAGTTTAAAATAATAAGTTGTATTAAAATGAGTTAAAAGGCTTTATTTTTATAAAAAAAATAATATATAGTATTATTTTGCAATTTAAAAGTGATAATTTTAAATACTAAATTTTGAACAATAAATTTAAAATAATTTAAAAATGATATAATCTTGTATAAAAATGAGTTAAAAGGCTTATTTAAAGAAAATAATCCTTTAATAAAATATGTTAATTAAATAATCTTAATTTTATGAATAAGAAAATATAAAGAAATCCAAAAAATAAATATTTACTATTTGCATTCATATTTACGAAATTTTAGGTTGGTAAAGTAAAAAAAATTTCATTTTATTAAGATACTTTTGGTTGATGAATAACTTTTCTTATTATAGAAATAAAAAGATCATTGAACATATGGAAACAATTTTAAAGTCAACAGCTGACAATCTCTCGCAGCCCCCCCCCCCCCCCCCACCTCAAATATCCAAATTTTTTAATTAAAAATATTCAGAAAAATATATAGAAAAGAATTATCAGCCTTAAAATTTAACACCGTAAAAGTAAGTAGGTTATTATAATGTTAAATATTTGTTATGCTTAAAAATTAAGCCACTTATACATATATAAATAAATATATTTAATCTCGATAAATTTATTCGAAAGAATTCTATTATAATTATTACACAAATTTTTTTTTGCTCTTTTTGTTATCCTAAAGACGATAAAGATAAGCCTAAAGCACCGGTAGTTAACCAGGACACCAGGCTTGATAATAGAGTAATCGATCTGAGAACCCCCGCTAATCAAGCTATATTCAGGATTCAAGGTGTCAATCTCATATATACATATTATAATAACTGTTTTTTTTCCTTTTTCCAATTGATTTAGAAAGATAAGGAAAGCTAGCAGGAAAGGAAGAAAAATATATTGTTCCAAGTATAGAAAGGATAATAGACATAAATTCAAATTTTATAAATTTCACATATGACAAATAATCATCTTATTATAACATAATATTTTTTATTTTACTGGTATAGCTGGAATAGTCTCTTTATTTAGGTCCTTTTTAGAGAGTCGCGATTTTATAGAAATTCACACGCCCAAGATTATTTCTGGTACGTATATTACACTCATTTCATCGTGCAAATATATACGTTAAATTATCATATTATTATATAATTTTATGACACATCTGTTTTTTCTTTTATCTCCAATTTAAGAAAGATAGGCGAGTTATATATATATTTATTTAATTAATTATCACTAATATGAATGCCGTCCAGGATCGCTTGTTTTACCCTGCGTTTAAAACGCGAACATCACTTTTGGCCTATACTTAAAACGACTTATTTTTTTTGTTAAACATGGAATTCGAATAATCTTGAATCATTAAAATAAATATGAAGCTTAGGTGGGTTTTTTTTAAATATTTAATATTTAACGGTTATACCTTTTCGTATATCTCAACAAAAATTACTAAAAATAATTTCGGAATATTATTTTTTGGAAACTAGTTTAAGCGATTATGACAGCCGAAATTCAAATTTTTAGCTTCAACAAATCCAATAACAACAATAAATTAGAACTACAAAAAAATTTACGAAAGTGAACATTATTATTACACAATAATATTATTAAAGGTGTAGACATGTGATTATGATAATAATATGATGAATCTTATAAATTATACTTGTAATAACTAATGTTTATTAAACAAGCTCGATTCGAGCCTATTTTTAAAAAAATTTTAACTCAATGTTTTTAACCAGAAAAAATATTACGCATGTCCTGAAGATTTTGGTTATAGATGGCACAAAGATTTAGACAACTATTATCAAAATCTCGAGGCGTGTGCTATATTTTTCTGGCTAGAATGTTGAGTTCGCCGTTTTTAAGAATCGGCTCAAATCGAGCCGTTTAACAACACACCTGTAACTAGGCCTATTCAAAAACGAATTCAAATCGAATAGTGCATTATTCGTATTCGATTCGTATAAACAAATCTTACTATTTGTATTCGATTCGTATAAACAAATCTTACTATTTGTATTCGATTATCAATTTTTTTTAATAAAATAAATCATACTCAAATATATTGACAAATTTTTTTATTACAAATTTGATTTTAAACAGAAAAAATTATAATAATATGTAATCAATAATCTGATAATAAATAATCAAGTTATAAACAAAATTAAAATGTATATTATTAATTTAATTTATAATTTAAGCCAATTTTTAAGGCAAAGAGTTTTTCTTATATTTTCTTCCTTATATGACATGCGGTTTTTTGACAATAAATTAGTTCCAACGGAGAAAAGCCTTTCACAAGCAGTTGATGTTCCTTGTATAGATAGATAATCCCTTGCCATTTTCGAGAGTATGGGGATCCGATATGCATTTGCCTTCCACCAAATTAACGGGTCAGTATCACTCTTTGCTCTTGGTTCACTCAGATAAAATATCTATTTCACACAGTTGAATATTATTTTGTTTAAAAACAATGTCTAGCCTGTTTTGTTTAATTTTATCCTTATTTGTTTGACAGTTTTAATTATGAGCTTATAAAATAAAATCATATTTAAATGGGGGTAAATTAAATACCTGTATATCTATTGTAAATCTCTTTAAATTTGTCCATTAACTTGGATATATCAATATCATAATCAACAGATATTGATTTAAAATATTCTACTTTAAGCCTGGGATCTAATGTTGTGGTTATTATTGCATCATCGGCAGTTAAATTATAATAGCCCAACAATTTATCACATGCTACCTTGAAACTATTGTTAAAGGATTTATGGAAACCAGGTTTTTCATTTTTTAGATGTTCAAGAATTAAAATATAATAAGGTATAACCAAATTATAAGTAGGATAATTCTCCCCACATACCATATTTGTAGTTTCATATAAAGGCAATAGGATAGCTTTAATTTTTATAATACTCCCATCCTTCCTATATGTTATCAAAGTATTATATTATTACCTAATTATAAATTTTAGTTTACCTCTGATATTTGTTTTTCTTGAAGAATTTTAATATTAGTTATTACTTTTTTAACTAATTTTATAGCAGGCTTTAACAATAAGCCCCTTTCAATCATTTGATAGGTGCTATTCCACCTTATTTCACAATCCAATTTTGGTTTTAAAAAATTTAGGGGAAGATGTAGGGAACTACATATATTTTTTAATAAATTTAAATTTTTTAGGGGAATTACGAATCATTCTAATAATGTTTCTTAGTTTTAGAATTGAAGGATCTAAAATTTTTAAAATTTCTTTGGATATTAAATTAATTACATACGGATGTGCCCTATTTTTATTAATATTTTATAGAAAATGTATCAATAAATGTTTTATTATTAGTTGCATTATAAAGTTATATTAAAAAATTTTATTCTCTAATTTATAATTTTTAATTATTTTAACAAAGGCTTTAAATATATTTTCACCTGAATGTGTTTCATTTATTGGACTGACATCCAAAATTATGTCATTTATTTTAAAATTATCATCAATAAAATAGGCTGTTAGCCCTAAAAAAGGAACCTGTGTTGGGCTAGTCAAAATGTCAGATGAAAAATTAATCTGACTTTTATTTTTAGATATTATTTCCTTTACCAACTGTTCTTTTTCTGCAAATGTATTATACATGTGCAATTTAAGAGTATCGGAGCATATTGATTTTACAGAACAATCAAGATCACTTAAAAAATTTTTAAAATCATTTGAATTAATAATTTTAAAAGGTATATTATTATTTATAAATAATTTTAATAAATTATACTTAAAATTAATTTTTTTGAAGAATTTGGTGTAGACTTTAAAAAAATGTCAATTTTAATATTTTTTTACTACGGTGTGAATGAAACCTATTATAATGATTAATAAGAGGAGATGTTGTTATGCCTTTACATTTTATAATACTCTTGCAATGATTGCAAGCAGCCTTTTCACTGTCTTTAAGGATTTGATATTGATCCCATATGATTACTCTCTTTAGTGAATAAATTTTCTCATCTTCAACATCAAGCATAATTTCATCAGTCTCCTCTAACATAATTAAGCTAGCTAACTAATTATTGTAGAAATGTAATATATTTTTATATACCTCTGGTTTGTGTAATTTTTAATACAATTTATTATGAGATTCAAAAAATAAACTTTTTCGTGAGATTCTAAAAATGTGGCAAATAAAAATTTAAATTTTCACTTCAGAAATTTTTAAATTTGTGCATTTTTATAAACCCAAACACATCACCTGTCAGATTGGCAGGTCAACAAATAGAAATGACAAATGTTAGATTTATTAAACAATTTATTAAATATTACGAATTATTCGAATCGAATAAATGATTATTCGTATTCAGATAAAACAAATAATTTATTATTCGTATTCGTAATTATTCGAATCATTTTTGCATAGGCCTACTTGTAACGATGTTTAGGCAAAGGAAAAAAAAATCGGCTGGAACTTTCATTAACGAATTTCGTTGGGCTAGGGCGATTAACAGTGGATACCAAAAATTTTGTTAGATTTTGGCAGCGCCAATTTTTTGATCTTTTATATTGCAGTTTTCTCTCTTCAGAATTGTAAACGTCGCTTAAAGTGATCTTGGACGTTTTCCGAGTCCGTAGACATTTAACTCTTAAATATTAGGTATAAATTTTATTTTTACGGGGAAATCAAAGAAAATATGTATTTTTCGAATCATTTTTTTTGTTGTTGAAGCTGCTAGTGAAGGTGGAGCCAATGTATTTACCGTTCAATATTTCAAGGAAAAGGCTTATTTGGCACAATCCCCTCAGCTATATAAGCAAATGGCGTTGTGCGGAGATTTCGATAGAGTCTACACGATAGGATCTGGTTTAAACAAAAATGAAGGAATACATATATCGTCGGCCCAGAATTGGGGTGCTCCACTTGCTCAAATGTTTAAAATGAGAAAATCAACATTAAAGTTAAAAATCAAATATAGGAATAGTTTATTGATCAATTTTGACAGAGCTATAACTTTGGCAAAAATTAATATTTTTTAGATTTTATTTTTATATATATTAGGAATAAATAAGTTATTATCCACTTCTAACTCAAAGCACTCCAATTCTAGACCGACAATAATTAATTTTATTCACAATTTTTTTTTACCGGCTTGATAAAAGGTATAAAAATAGAAAAAATTGATGTAAACCGTAAATATAATTTCATTGTTCTATTTCTCCCTTTCTAAGGGCTTAAGGAAATTCTAAAAACAGAAGCTCAGTTTTGGGGTTTTTTTTTTGAATATTGTGAGCTTATGAATTATGTATTTTTTTTTTCCCTTCTAAATCAAAAAAAAAAAGTTTTCCGAGCCGAAGACTCTAACACTCATAGACACCTGACGGAATTCATTGGACTCGATCTGGAGATGACCATCAAATGCCATTATAGGGAAATTGTCGAGCTTATAGGTCAAATGTTTGTGTACATTTTCAAGAACTTACATAACAAGTTAATAAAGAAATATGTAAATATATATATATATATATACACTAGCCGATTAAATACATTCATAGGGGAAGGGGGGGGGAGGTGACTCAACCAATACGAATGAATATAAAGTGGGATTCATTTCGCTCCCCATTTAAAAGATCTATCAAAATACGATAAAACCTGTCTAATTTGGGTACCGTTTGAATTAAAATTTTTGCCCAACTTAGATATCAATGCTTTTAATAATATGCGGCATTTAATAGGAATTTGTATTGGGACTCAAAATTTTGGTCAAATTAGGGAAATATCCGAATTAGCAAGGCTCCGAATTAGACAAGTTTTTACTGTATCTGCTTTTTATAATGACTATCTTATAGTCTTGGGATTTCGTTTTAACCCTCCCCCCACCACCTTATCAATCTATGAACATGCTAATTTATAAATTAAAATAATCATATTTCGGTCAAAATTGAAGGGTTATTCGAATTAGCCAGAGCCCAAAATAGACATATTTTAACTGTATTTGCATTTTATGATGAATATCATATAGTCTCTGGGATTTGGCTTTAATGCTCACCTTATCGATCTATGAACACGCTCATTTATAAATTAAAAGAATCAAATTTTGGTCTCCTAATTTATTGATTTGATCCTCCATAATGATGCGTATTTTTTGAAATGCTTTTTTTCGCGACTAAACCTGAATGTTAATATAACATATTTTGATTTGTTTCGATTTACCTAGAGGTTTAAATTGGTTTCTGTTTTTTTTATTCCATAATATAATAATATATTATTTATGTTTAGTTTATCATAATCACATAATATATGTATATTTTTTTTAAAGTTTGTAAATTCCAATAATTTATTAACAATGCGACATTCGAAATAATTTGAGAAATTTTATTAATCGCCAAAGTTTCTCGGTCATGAATTTGTCCTGGTATTAATGTTCAGAAATTTCAAACAATCCTTTAAATTTATTTCTTTACCCCATTTTTTTTGAAAGACAATTGTAAGGTGTCAAAAATCTTGGGTTCTAAAATAAAATTTGAAAAACATATGTTTTACCACGTGTTATTCAAAAATTCTTACTGCGAAGAATGAACTGTGATTTCGATAACTTACCACACCCAATGATATATAATAATACATAGACTGACGATGCATTCATAAATTGACATTTGGAAGCGTCGTTGAATGTTAATCAGCTGGACCCGCCATTTTGGTAAACCCATATAGTAATTATCCTCATGTTAAAAAACTACTATTAAATCGATAACTTGCTTCCTTATTATCTCGATGATCAGGCAATTCTTTAAATAAAGTTTGCGACAGACATAGGAATAAATTACTCGTTTAAAAAATTTTCATAATGATATGGGTAATCAAAATAGCGTCCCCAGCTGTTTTCATTGATGTATACACTTTTAATGAATACATAGTCAGTCTAGGTATTATTATATGTCATTGGTTCTAAGGTTCTTTGGGTTTTCCTATTGGTATCAAAGTTACACGGACATCAACTTGGCCTGATATTAATTTTAAGAGACTTCAAACTATCTTTCAAGGTTCTTTTTCTAAAGCGAGAAAGTCAAAGACTTTGTCGCCTTCACTTTTTATTCTTTGAATTTATTATTTTACCATTTTGAAAAAAAACAAAACCTACAAGGTACCAAAAGGAGATAAATATAGTATCTCAGCAATACCCGTGTCAGCCTTTCGTTTTCTTGGAGCCTAGGTAAATTTATTTTTAAAAAAAACTAATATTTTATGTTATTATATATATAATTAAAATCTGCGAGAAGGGAAGGGGGGGTGATTTTTTAAATAAAAAACCAAAAATAATTAGTCTGTGCCTATATTAAATATCGGATCGGATTGGTGAAAAATATATGGAATCCTTAAATATAATTAGAATTTTTTTTGCTTATCTCAATTTAAAAAAAAAAAACTTATATAAGTAAAAAAATCTATTTAAAGGAATCCATGGAAACTCTACACAACTATATTTTTCCCTAATATCCTCTTTTATTATAGCCTTGAGGACCTAAGGAGTATAGTTGGCTAATTACTCAATTTTTAGCCTTTTAAGACAATTTTTAGTCGGTTAAAAAATCGGCTAAACCAAGTTTTTACCCGAAAATTATCACTTTGGCCTCGGGGTTTTTAAAAAAAAAAATAGCAGCTAAAATTTGGAACAAACTAATATAAATTAAAACGCTTTAATATTAACCTAATTTCTCCGGCAGGCGTCGCCGACATTTGGCCATTACCTAACCATACAAATGGGACATGTATAAAAATAACTGTGGTAATTTGGATAAATAAATTGTTAAAACTGAATATCTTTTAGAACGAATGATTGTTCGTGAATTTCCCATCCTAATAATATAGTAGAGCCCGGAATCTAATGAACACATTTTGAAGCGTCGTCGGAGGCAAATCAGCTGGTGATTCGCCATTCAATTTATTTCTTCGCCACGGAATGTTTTAGTGATTAATTTAGTTACCATCCTGTGATTATCAAATATTTAAAGGAAAACAGTTGGAAATTTATTAAAGGAACAACCTTAGTACGCACATTAAATCCATAGTCTTCGGCACACACTTTGAAATAATCCTTCGGGCTTCCTGGTAGATTCCCATCCACTGCAAAACCAACCCTTCCTGATTTTTCAAAGCCATTTTAATAACCTTGCTGCGGGGTCTTCTCCAAATCCACAAAAGCATAATTTCTTCGACTTATACAAACTGCATATCATCGATTTTCACTTGATCTCCATACTCCAAAGAACTTAATCGCCTGGTATGAGCCACGATATCATGAATCACTTCCACCCCCCCCCCCCCCATTCCCCCCCCCGTATACCCGAATAACTAAACTTCTTTATTAGTCCGTTGGAATACCTTCTTCTTTTAAAAGTCTATTCACAAGTCTGTCATTCAATTCATTACAATTTCTTCCCGTCACTACTCTTTTTAGGCACCTCTCTTTATCTTTCTTTTCCTAACCTCGTCCTTCCCAAATCAACATGTCTCTTTGATGCCTTACCGTCAATAATAACATTCCCATCGGTATTTCTCACTCATTGAACCGTCAATGACATCAATATGTTTTGCCATCCGAATCATATATTACCACCCTTCCTTACTGACAGGGGAAAAGGAAACATTTTAGTTTTTTTGTGTTTTGAAAATAAATAATTTATCACGAAATATTCAAATATAATAACAGTTTTAATTTTTTAATTTTTCTTTATAAATCAATTATTTATTCGATAAATCACAATGATTTCTAATTCTACGAATCTCTTATAACCATTCATGGCATTACCTATTTTTAAAACCGATCAAATCAGAGTTACGAATATCTTTTTAGCTATTTTCTCAAAGTTAATTATTATTAAATTATTCTTTTTATACCCGAAAAGCCTGCATTTAGATTACACGGAGGCCCTAGAAATATTGAGAGACCACGGGGTAGCCATCGGAGACGAAGATGATTTTTCGACTCCACAGGAAAAATTGTTGGGAAAATTGATCAAAAATATTGTAAAAAAAATAAAATAAAATATAGTATAACATTTTTGGGATTTTGCATTTGTTAAATGAATTATCGGCCATTTTGATGTATCGGATTAGGCCGTTACCGGATATTAAAAAATATTTAAATAATTGGGACTTGATATTTAAAAACCGGTGCATCCAAGGCGCCAAAATATTTTTCCTTTTTTTTCTATATTCTATTCATTTCTTATTTACGGGATAGAAGAGAAAGAAAAAGAAGAAAGAGAGAAAGAAAAGATTATTTAAAATCTTATTTATGCATTGGATATCTTTTTAATATTCTTTTATTTTCTTCTCAAGATGGCCACAACTTTACTTTTGAATTTTTATTTAAATTATTGAATAAATTTTTTAATGTATTATTATATTTTATCTGTTAATTATATAGTATAGTACCGATTTTTTTATGCTCGACAAATTTCCCTTGGCCGTTCGACCTTTCTACACTATGCCCGACCAAACAAGTTCCAATGTGGTTTTTAAAAAAAACAAAATTATTTTTCATAAATATGTTATTAGAGCCAATGAAAATAACGAACATATACATTAGCCCATTGTTTATTTAAAAAGTATAATACCTAGAGGTTGTCCTAGTTCATTTTTTGATCGCAGATTTTTTCAACATAGTATATTGTTACTTTTTCAACGCTACTTGAAAAACTGTATTTTGGAATATCAGCTAAATGAAACTCTGTACCTTTTCTTATGCCTGTCTTAAAAATCTGCGGGAAAAGCTATAACTAGGACAGCCTCTAAAGGGAAAATATTTTGAATTCCTTTTTTCATATTTTCTAGAAATATTCCAACAGTTACGATATGTACATGAGAGGCGAAGAAGTAATTTCAGGAGCCCAGAGAATTCACGACATCGAACTTTTGATCGAAAGGGCCAAATTTCATAACATCGGTTTGTTAAACACAAATACAAAAAAAATATTTATTTGATTTTCAGAAAAAAAGAGAGAATATTTTTATTTCGATTATACAAAATAAATAGAGTTTACAACCGGAACTTGAATTTTAAAAAAAGTGTCCTGATTTCCGGTTTCAATTTTTTTAAATTAGACCGGTCAGCATCTTTGAGATGCTACACCCTGTAAAAGACCGTTCTCGAGAAAAACGCGATATCGAATACGTTCAGCACTAGGCGGAACATTTGATCCTTTATTTAAATAGTTAATTTGCAAAAAAAGATTAAAAATTATTGTCCATAATTAAAAAAAAAATAGTAACACAGTTCTTATATTACTTATATATTTTTTCGTAATGTATTAGTTTTTTAAATATATATAGCCCAATCCTTTTATAATTAGATATTAATGATCATCTAAATGTATGCCTTAAACGTTATTTTAAAAATAATAAAACGCTTATAACCGATGTAAAAAAATAAATGGTTCTCGACCTAATTTAAATTTAATTATCAAAAAATGAATATTATGCAACCATTTATTAAACCCTTTGACTTTCAATCAATATATTTTTTCTAATACAAATATAATATATATACATATAAAATATTGACTTTTATTAATATATCATCTATATGAATCGCAGATTTAAATAATTTATCAATTATATGCTACAAAAACAAATTCTAAAATGTATAAAATCAACAGATTATAAATTATAATACATTTCAAAAAAAGTTATTTTTTACACCACGAAAAAAAATTATACCTCATTGTATATTTCTTTTTTTTTTGCACTTTTATATCCTTTTTTTTATTCTCGAGTGACGCCAAAATGTTATAAATAAATTTGGCAAGATGTCGCCACCTTTTTATCTTAAAATAATTTCGAACCAATCTTCGGTGTTACCCACACATTCGTCGCCGCGAATTCACGCTAACTAACCTAATGCAGGGTTAAACTATTAGGATCCCGATTAGCGTTTTTAACAGAGCTTTTACGATATAAAAATGAATACAAAAAAAATGGTTGTAAAACTCATTACCAATCAACCACAAAATTTACAAGTAAAATATAATTAAAAGTACAAAAAAGTATCGCAAAATAAACGATACTCATCAAAATTGAAACATAACTGCCACAAACGTCAAAATTTGCCAAAATCATTTTATTTCTTTACTCGAAATTTTGAGATATAAAATGGCAACCGATATTTATTTTTTGCTAATTTAATAAACATTATTAATAATATGTCTTTTTAGATTTGGTCAAAATTCAAAGTTATATCGACGCCTTCAAGTACGGTATAGGACCCCACGGAGGAGGTGGAATAGGTTAATAGCATTTTTATTGTAAATTTTTTTTTTAAAAAAAATACTTTTATCTTTGCGCATGTTTTTTTATTCGTAAAAAAAACGAATGGTTAAGCAGTAGTTCATGTATGAAATTTACGGGGTAGATATTCTATATTACATGTTGGAATATTATTCTTAAAAAAAATTACTTCGAAAATTTTCTAAAATCCTAATTTACCCGATGAGACACATATCATATATGTAGTGTTGTTTTACCGACTCGATTTGTGTCGATTTTTTTTAAAAAAAAAGGCTAACTCAATATTCAAAAAAAAATATATTACGCAAACTTGAAGATCTAAGGTTTATACATCTATTAACGAAGTGTCGAGGCTTAGGTAATATTTTTTCTGACTAAAATATTGAGTTAGCCGTTTTTGAAAATTGGCTCAAATCGAGCCATTTAACAACACTATATATTAGTCCTATACATAAAACTAATCCTATTCTTCATTAATTCGTATTATTTAACCTGATCGAATAATATACCATTGATTTTTGTACGAATAATAAAATTTACTCTTTTTTTTTGTATTAGATTTTAAATAGTTCGTTTTTTTTTAAAAAAAAAATTTAAATTAATATTATAAACAAACAATTCAAAACGAAAATATTAGAGCCGTATTTTAATTTTTTTTTTTTTAAATATACCCGGGCCTGGAATTTTTTTTTAAAAAAATATGCGGATTGGACTGGGCCGTATATTTTAGAACCAAATATTTGAAATCACTATTATTAGCTATAAAAATCAAAAATAAATATAATATATTTATAAAGAATTCAGTCCGGGCCTTAAAATATAAAATCCGGGTGGGGTCGTGCAAATGGTACCTCTGCAGGCCTCTGGAAAATATATTGATAGAATTTTTTTTTAATTATGCTACTATGTTATTTAGTTTAAAAAATCTGATTGATAAAATAGGTTTGTTTACCTTAGAAATGTAACCTAATTGAGTTGATTCGAATATTAAATTAAAATTTTTTTTAATGCATATATATATATATGCGTGCTTAACCCTCATATTCACGATAAGCGCGCAATTCACTACAAAGAATACAAAAAAATACAGCATATTTTGTATACTTCGCGATTTTGCTCTAACTATAAATTAGGGGTAAGTGTGCTTGAGTATTTATATACCTTGTTCATAAATCAAGATTATTTATAAAATCCTCTCAATCAGCAGTTTTTAAATGATAGATAATCAAGGTATCTCTTATAAAAATTGGTATTTCATATCAATTTTTTTTTTTTTAAAAAAATACAAAAATTGAGGATGTTTTAAGGGTCAATACATTCTTTAATAAAATTTTTAATTTTAAAGAACGGGTATCGTTTTATAGTTATAAAGATTTCAAATCGTTTTTTTTATGGCCACTAAGTATAATGTTAAAGATTGTAACATTTTAATTATAGCTTTAGATAACCTTTTCTTTAGTTACATTATGCTCTTTCATCCCCAATATCAAAGTGCACTTAATATCGAAAAAGAACACAATGTGACGAAAAAAAAAGGCTGTATATAATTATACATTTGTATAATTATATTTTAAAAAGCAAATGAATGGTGGTTAAAAAAAAGTTTATTTATTTTTTTAAATTCAATTTTTTTATTTATTATATTAATATTTAGGTCTGGAAAGGGTCACTATGCTATTTTTGGGCTTGGACAATATTAGAAAGACATCCATGTTTCCTAGAGATCCTAAAAGATTAACCCCATAAAGGATATTTTTTTATATTATATATATATATAATATTGTATACAATTATAATAGCAAATGGAGTAAATATTATAACATTTTTTTATAGTATAATTCTTCAAGTTATAACATAATTTTTTTAAATTTTAATATGATCGATAATGTCATACCAAATATCTTACATTATACGAGTTTGTCTTACATATTAAAGTATTAATTTAATTTTTAGTTAAATTTTACAGGGATTTATTTTTATTTTTTTTTAAAAAAATAATTTTTATAGATATTTTTTTGCAATAAAAATTTACTAAATATGTGCAGTAGTTTTCAACTTATTTGGTTTTCCATTTTAAATTATTCATAAAATTCATCTTATTTTATTTATATTTGTCGTTTTTTGTTGATTTGATTCTTTATAAGATCCTCCTCGAAAAATTTGTGTTATATTACCAATCAGTTTCTAAGCTCTTACTCTTGTTTATATTTTTTAGGTCTTCTGATCATTTCCCCATTCTATCTTTTATTTACAAAGATTTTTGCTTTTTATGTGTATACTACTTTAAAATATAACCTTTCTTGTATCTTATCTATTTTGGTCATCTCTGGTATCAGCCTCATTTTCTAGAAGATTCTCGTTTGATTCTTTGTTGGTCATGTTTCTGTATTACATTATGGCAGTTTAGCTGTAATATGGAATTTTGTTTATATTCTTTAATTTGTGAGAAATTCTAGATAAATTTCGCCTTCAACCGTACTTGATTCATCTTATTCATTCTCAGTTGTGACATTGTTTTTGTAGGGGAAAACCCAGATATTTGCCGCCTTCAATTTCCAATAGTTGCTATTCATTTATATCGATGATCTGACATCTTGCCTGTTATTTCCTTGTTGACTTTAAGTCCGTCCGTGATTTTCTGTGGAATTTATTAGACAAGTTCAGTTTTATATTGTCATATGTTTTGACAAGTCTGAAGCTACCCGGCCCTCATTTATTTCCACTGTCTTACCCAAGTAAAGTATAGATAATTCCTTTAAAATAAAAACACGCCACCATGTCCATTGGCTAGTTTTCTACTACTATAAGCAGCTCTCGCACCCATTCATATTCTAATGGAGAATTTAGACAATGCAATGAGTCAGTACGAGAAGGGTTTAACTCTGTTAGCGACCTCTTTAATTTCCATTTTTTTGGCGATTCTATCAATAGTAAATTGGGAACGCTTAGCCTTATCTCATTTTATTATTCTTTTCGTAGTTTTAGAGAGTGGGATATTAGTTTCTATTTTTATGCCTATATAAGTTAGACAACTGTACCAATAATTTTGCTTTTAAAAATAAAATCGTCTTTTTGATTTTTCGTAAACAAATACTATGTCCTTTTAAAAAAAATATAAAATCAAACAAATTAGTCTATGGGGAAAAGAAAATGAGCGGTTATTAGGTGCACTTAACTATCACCCATTCATCATCATACTTAGTAGTGTTAAACTGTTCTATTTGAGTTAATTTTTAAAAATGACTAATTCAATATTTTAGCCAGAAAAATATTTCCTGAGCCTCGAGATTTTGCTAATAGATATCCAAACCTTTGTACCATCTAGAACAAAATCTTTGTATCTGCGCAATATTTTTCTGAATAAAATATAGAGTTAGCCGTTTTTAAAAACAGGCTCGAGCCGTTCATACTACAGTAGAGCTTCATACATGATTGAACTGAACATATATAATTTAATATTTTTTTTTAAGACTAAGTAAAATTCGAAAAATTTTAAAATTTTAAATGGAATAGTATATGTTAAATATTCGGTATTTAAAAAATAATGTCGATTTCTTATACGACAAAGTTTGCTAATAGAATTTTTTGATATTTTGGACGAACTTAAATCAAACTTTAAAAATCTTGAGAAATATTTATATGAAATCCCATGTCCAACCATTTTGTCCTCTTTAGATTTCTATCTGCAATATTTGTCCTCGACAAATATTGCAGATAGAAATCCTACCCTAATATTAGGATATATCTCCCACCAAACGAATTTAGATATATATAAACCAGTTTTTCTATCAGTTTTTTATTTATCCATCTATTCCTTATTTATTTTATAAATCGTGTATTGTTTTTGAAAATCCATTATATAATATTGGTGTTTTTTTAAAAAGCTCTATTTGGGTCGATTTTTAAAAAGGAACTAATTGAGATTTTTTAGCCAAAGTAACATTTAGTAATCCACGAGATTGGGCAAATAGAGTTTCAAATCCTTTGTGCCATCTATGAGAAAAAATCTCCGGGATTACATTTTATTATTTTGTCTAACATCTTTATTCGGACTTTTTGCTTTTAGGCATTTTATATCATTTCTATTCATGTCTTAAAAGGGCACGACGATTGGAATAAAGAAACTTAATAGAGCATTTGCCAATTTCTTCCATAAAATCAAAGGAGATAAAGCAAAAAAAAAAAAAATTCTGTGTCATATAATGATCCCTGATATCAAATATTATGAGATGAAAGAAAAAACAGGGCAAGAAAATGTCTTATCACAAATTTGACTTTGATGAATGTATACAAATGGACAATTCACTTCCTTCCATTGGTTTAGGTCAAAATAATTACTCCAAACTACGAGGACGATTTTGAATCCTTGTTTCAAATGAAAGAAAGTAGTAAGTCAAAAAATGCCACACAATATAAAACAAGAGCGATTTATCATAAATTCTTTTAACGCCATCGATTGGAATAAAAACACCAATATTCTTACATATTTGGTAAGAAGATAATTAGAGACCCTATGCACCAACAACAATAGCTAGATTTATCCCAGCAACTCAGGCTTCTGTGGGGAAATAATTTTCAGGATTAAAATATATTCATTTACCACAAGAGATATATTTAAAAATGTTATTAAACGGCTCATAGCCGATTTTAAATTAAGATTTAATCAAAAAAAATATTACGCAAGCTTCATCGATAAAAGATGTCCAAACCCTTTTTGCCATCTATGAGCAAAATCTCCAGGCTTGTGCGTAATATTTATGGGCTAAGATATTGGCGTTATCCTTTTTTAAAAAATCGCGTCGTTTAACACGAAATATATTAGATTATATTTTAATTAGATATTTGTAATCATGATATTATGATACAAATAATGGATAAAAAAAAAATTGGGCTAACTTGTAAGCTCTGCTTTATACTTGGTTATTCCCCCTATCTATTTATCATAAAATTGGATTAAAATTATTCTTCGAAAATTTAATAATTGTACAATGTTACAAAAATATATTAATGAACTTATTAGATATTTTCGTATTATATTTACAAACCCAAACAATTTCCCCACACAATTGATAAATTTACTTTTAAAAACTACTAATTTTATTGGCAAAGAAAACTGTAATCTACAAAAATAAAAATCTCATCCTTTTTATAGATTTTGGCAAAAAGGAATCATGTGATATATATATAATCAGGCAGGCGACTATTTAACAAATTGATTCAAATGAAATACTTTACATCAAAATGCGTTAAGAACAATCAATTTTATAAATAATAACAACGGTTTGGAATCTGAACTAGAGATCTGCAAAGTTAGGCCCGGCCCGTATTCGGTCCGAACGGGCTTCGGTCCGGGCAATTCTATTTAAAATAATCGGGTTTGGGCCGGGCCTAATATTTTTATAAAAATTTCGGGCCGGGTCGGACCTTGGAAATTTTATTAAATATATCTAAATTTATCAATTTAATATTGAATTTTTTATGTAAAGTAAAAATTTTTGATTTAATTTATTGAAACAAAAACGCTATATAACATATGTCATTTATTTTAAGTAATTATAAAAATTAATTTCTTATTTAAATAAATTCGGGCCTGGCCGGGCCGGTAAATTTTTTTAAAATAAATTTCGGATTCCGGCCCGGCAAAGCTTTTTAAAAAAATTTTGGGTTCGGGCCGGGCCGGCAAAACTTTTTTAAAAAAAATTTCGGGCCCCTTTATAAAATTCAATTTTTTAATCTCAAATAAACTTTTTATCCCTCGAGAACCGAACTTTTAAATATGGTATTCCTGGAATCTTAACTGAATCAATATAGCAAAAAGTTCGACACGTTTCATAGTATAGAATCGAGTTTTGTGATCTTACGATAAATATTTAAATAAAAATTACTGAATTAAATTAAAAAGAAAGATCCAACTAGACTTTGTAACCTGGACCGAAAGTTCTAAATATTTTTTTAAAAAAATATGGTTTTGGGATTAAGCACACAAAATTTTTTTCAAAAAAAAAACGCTATTTCCTTCCGGCTGTTTAATTTGCACCATGTTCCTGTTCCAAAACTAGCTAGCAGTGGAGTCGTTAGCTCTTTCAACTTAAAGGGAGGCATAGATGTTAAAGTAGAGCTCTAAGTTTTTTTACAATAGCAATATTTATGGCGCAGGCGCGTACGCAGCGGGAGGGGACAAATCCCCCCCCCCCCTAAAGCCAAAAAAATGCAGGTGCCGGATATATTTTTAAAAAATATTATTGCTTATATTTTAATTTTATAATATTTATTCCAATCTATTTCTTATTAAATATATATTTAATTACATTTATTTATCACATTCATCTAAGTTATTTTATCAATTGATCTCGATTTCAAGTTTTCCTTGGCCTATTTAGCGTCAATGTGTTTTTCTGGCAATGTGTTATTTTTTCAACTTTAAATCATAATTTGAGAGCGTTTTTTTTTAAATTTAATAATCTAATTTTACCAGAAATGTATTCCAACATGTTTAGAAATAATATTTATCTATCATTTTTAAATTTCTAGTCAAATAATAATTATGGACATAAAGAAATTTTTTAAACATATTGATGATGATGAAAATCCTAGTCATCTTACAAAAAGGCAAAAACATTTTATAATTAGCCTAGAAGAAAGACGTATACTTCTTAAAAAGGTATTAGAGATATCTATGATAAATATTTTATATAATAACTCCATCTTTAATATCCACCAAACTATATGTGCTAATCGCAAGTTAAAATTTCAAAACAGCTATTTTACTAGATAGTTATAGCTAGCATACTCTATTCGAGACAATGTAATTGCAAGATATGTGTCCAGTTTGGCCCAAGATGCTAGAAGAAATTTAATTAAGCTTAACAGTCTTGTTAAGAATCTATTTAAGTACAAAGGTGCTGGAGAAATTTTTGACAATCATTAAAAAACAAATTATCACAAACGCTGTGAATTGATTATTCCTTCAAATTAATTCAAAGTAGGGATATGATTCTTGTTTCTTGACATTGACAAAGGATTAAAATAGCAAAAAAACTAACTATTGAGGTCAAGGCTTTGGATTCAGGAAGCTCAATTACAAAAATAATGATAATGAAGGTAATTTTCGTGATCTTGTAAAAATTAAAGCATTAAGGGATTCTGCATTAATGAAATACCCCAAGCAACAAAATATTTTAAACATATTATTTCTTAACTTCCTTGTCTAACAAGGAGAAAGAAATCGCTAAAATCTTGTCCAACGAGATGGAGTCTTCGCCAACAAGCAGTAACAGTTAGAAGAGCCGATTATTAAAACTCTTACAAATATCACAATGGCGTGAAAGAGTTTCCTCAGAAGCAAGCAAATTATTGGATTCAATATACCAAATTTTTTTTCTCATTAGAATGTATTAATAGATTAGTTAATTATACAACTATTTTATGTAATACTTTTTAAAAGTATAACATTAACTTGATTGAGATGATGAGAATAGCGGAGAAAATTTTATTAGAACTCAAGAAAATTAAAAGTTATGTTGATGAAGAATTTCATATTTTATTGTTGAGTCATAAGCATAGCTATGCGAGTTTAATATTTATCTCCCTCGACTTGCAGCAAGGCAAGCTCATCGTCCAAACATTTATATAGGGTCAGTATAAGAATATTATAAAATAAATGTCTTTATCCCTCTCTTAGATACATTTATAACCCAAATAAATGAAGGGTTTTAAATTTATCAGACAGCACTTAGCAATCTGCAGATATTACTTCCACAAAAGCCTTCCCAAACTTTTTCAGATGGTGATAGAAAAAAAATAAAATATTTAGTAGTTTTTTTTTCATGAAGATGTTAAAGTATCTCATGATGCTTTATTAGCTGAATGCCAACTATGCTTACTATAGTCCCAAAGAATGCTATGGGTATTTTGCAAAACATCTTTTAGTTTATTTTCCCAATGTAAAATTATTATATATATTAGCAACTCTTCCCATTAGTTATGTTCTTTAAGAAGAATAAAAAGTACCTAAGAATTACAACTTCTGATAGTAGATTGAACAGCTTGGCCCTTTCGAATATTGCCAGGCATTTGACTCCAAGCACGGATCAGATAATTGAAAAATTAGCTCAATTTTACATTATATATATATGCAATTTTAATTTTTAATTATGTTATATATTTATTCGTTAGAAATAGTTATTAGTCCTAATAAATTTATGCATGATATTTTTAAATAACAATTTCATCTTAAAAAAATTTAATTATCCCCGCGTATGGGCCTGCTATGCCGCGTTACTTATTTAAAAAAAATAAGGATAGCGGTAGCGCGCTATTTCATTATTTTCAAATTATATAATAAATACACTATAAAATTAATAAAATTTATTTATAATTCCATAATTTTAAAATTATAATCCTTTATATTTAAATTTGAAATTAATATTTCGAAATCTGCATAATACATCTGATTTGTTAATTAATTTAAAATATAAAATGTCGCTAATAAAGAAAGATTTGGAAGAGAATTATGAGACGGATAGCAATAAGATATTGTGGAGTTTCCTTTTTCCAAAATTTGAGAAATATTTTGGACTTTAGATTAGACCCTCATTTTTCTGGCGAACCAACTTACAACGTAAATTTAAACAACTTACCACGTGATGAGATAAGTGTCCATTTTTAAAAAAAACGAGCAATATTTAAAAAAAAATGTATATTAATTTTTTTAAATAGCGAAATGTTTTATTTAGATTGGTTTATTTTGTTTAAATTCAGGGATAAGAAACAAAGGCATTTTTGCATTCCTGTCTGAGCCATAAAATATGCGTCGTTCGCGTTCCGTATTTTGGAACGCGTTTCTAAAAATATATAATTAATTTTATTTTTTTTTTCCAATTATTATCATAGCAAAATTTTACACTTATATCTATTGAAATTAAAAACTTTTATTATACAATATTCATTTTTACTATAAAACAGTTAAAATTATTTCAAATATGATAATATATATTTTTTTTATGAATCTTAATTTTTAAAAGTGAGCACAAATTGAACGCTTATGTTTTGTCGTACATTTTAATTAAAAAAACGTAAAGCATCCATTGTTTAAATCAAGGTTTCCTCTTTTATATTAGTTATCGTTAGTGCTGTAAACATTTCCACGCGTTCAACGTTTATTGGCAAAAATCGTACACGTTCAACTTCAAAAAATTTTTTTTTAAAATTTCATTTAATATTTAAATTTAATATAAATAAATACCATATATTCTTTTAACACAATATATTAGCCATTAAAATTAAAAGTTTTAAGTCAATAAAAAAAATATTTTTATTAATTTTTAGTATATAAATTTAATATTTTTTTATTTATCGTATATTCAAAATTTTAACTGTTATAAAAAAAGAGAGGATTGATTTTTGTATATTATATTATCGTCTGCCTTTTTTATTTCATCAATTTCTAGATATTCCATTTTAAAAGATAAGTTATATTATGTTTCATATTTTATAATTAAATTAAATTTACATATTTATTAAACAACTAGGAAGGAAACCTTATCAATCTTATCTGGGTAACAAGGTTTTGTCGGTGTTCTTGCTAGAAAAATAACCGACTTCTTAAATGATTAATCGTAGACGAAGTGCAAGATGGGTGAATAAAAAAGTAATGAATAAAAGCAAACCAGTTTGCGTTTTTTTTAAAAATGGTTTCTAACGCCAAGCGGTATTTTGACCAATTTGTAGGATATCATTTCAAATGCTTTATTTGCGTTTAAAACGCATAATTTGTGTGCACCGAAGGTAAACTGGAATTGAGAAAAAAACAAACTGATAAACGAATATTTATGAATGATTAATTATATAGAGTGTTGTGATGATTTAATGAAACATATTAATGATTAAATTAAAACCCATCCATATAAATTATTTTCTTTGCAAAAATAATTAAAGTATAGACAAAGCATTATGGAAATTTCTTTTATTATTCCTTTTGTTATTTTAATTATTTTGTAAACAAAATAATTTTATATGGATGAGTTTTAATTAAATCGTCAATATGTTTCATTAAATCATTACAACACTGTATATATATATATATATACTATATATAGCTATGTAATATATTAAAATGCTTATAGTATTTTTTGGAATGGTTCCTTTCAAATTTCATTATATGTCCCTGGCTTATTCAGTAATGTGGTAGTTATTCAGTTGAGGTAAAAGGCACCCCACTCCAAAGTACTTTAGTCTCTCTTATATGTTTAAAAGAATGAGTAGGTTCTCAGTATGAAAATGATCAAGGTATCAATGTTCTACTTTTGGGGGATAGGTGGGAGGAATTTAAAAAATGAGTTAAGGATGATGTTATAAAAAAATATTAATAAAATATAAGTAAAAGGTTTTGCTGATCGTTTGAAACTCAAATCACAAGATTTGTTATTAATATATTATTAAAAAAGAAAATAACTTTAATCTATTTTAATTTATTAAATAATAAAAAAATAAGTGTATTCACACTTTCTTACCTATCATTTAAATATTTTTAGTAAACCCACCCATTGTTTAAAAAAACATGTGCCCATGAAAGGCCTAATAAAGGTGCTTGCCATGTTTGAACTTAGAAAATGCTGATAACTAGTAAATGCAAAATCATACACTTTTATTGAAATAAAACAATTTTATAAATATTTTATTAACATATAACAACTTATATTGCTCTTATTTAACCAAAAAATCAAGTATATGCAAGTAAAAATAATTTTTTTTAACCAAGGTTAAGAATATAGAAATATAATTTTTTGTTGAAGATATATTAAAATAGTTGATTCCTCTGACCTTTATTATCATGATATAAAAATTTACTTTGGGATATATTTTTTTAAAAAACATTGCAAGGCAATGATTATTAAAATTACTAGTCACAATAAATTTAAAGTATTGAAATTATACATTATAGCTATCAGGATAAAATTATGATTACTATATTACAAACCTGATTTATATATTTCATTTTAAAAATATCATCGTCTATTAGATATTTTCTCTTTTCTATAATTGTCATCAGTCTCTCTATCATATCTGTTTTTGTGATTTTTATTATTTCTATCATAGGGAGAATCATATTCTCTGCTTCTTCTCCCCTTGGAGGAGTGTGATGAGTGAGAATTGTATCTTTTATCATCAAAGTCACCATAATTATTGTAGCCATCACTTTGTGATTGATGATTAGGGGCAGAACCATGTATATTATTATAATATTTTGATGATCGATTATTGGGAGTTTGATAAGAATAACTTTGATTCATTAAATAATTTTGATTTATAAATGGGTCACTGATATAAGGTTGTTGATACATAGAATTTTGCTGATAATAATTATTATAATTTATAGGATCAAAATAATTCATATTATTAGAATATGGCCCACTATAATTATTGTACTGTTGAGAATTATATGGAGCATTCATATTAAGGATTGAAGAAGGAGTTGGTAGTGGTAATATAGACTTTGTATCTATATGGTTTTTAGATTTAATAATATTTAAATTTTGCCTTAAATCATTTATATATTCTGGTTTCCTTGCTGGAGATTCATCTTCTGCTAATGATTTTGTATCTTCGATCAGAATATTTTCAAATAGGTTTTGATATTTCATGCATCTTAGCTTGTTGGCTGCTTCTATATCATATTGTGAATATTTTAAATTTTCTAAACCAAAAAGATCATTGTTTTCATGTGCTGACCCTTTCCTACATTTAAGAGTAAGCACATTGTTGTTCAATTTAATACCATTCATTAAATCAATTGCATAAGGGACAGATATCTCGTGACAAAATTTTATAAAGGCATATTGTTTTCTTTTGCCATCCCTCTCTGTAGCTATTTTCACGTTTTCAACAGGACCAGCCTAAGTAATAACATAGAATATAAATTTTTGCATCCCTCGTTAGAAATCAAACTTGTAAAAATAATTCATATAACAATTCTTCAGTTGTATCTTCAGAAATGTTTCCGCAAAACAAGCTATAGTTTAAGTCGTCGCTCATTCAAAATAAATTCTAAATTTATGAAAGAAAATAGAAATTTTTCAAAATATTATTACAGTGCTAAACAATGACCAATAAAATAAAAATATTACAAAAGTTAATTCTTGTTTTGTAATTTTATTACAATGATGTTAAATATAAATGAAGGAACTAGATGTAGATTGCGACAGATTTCATATATTAAAGTATATCTAAGTTAATAAAATTAATGTTTAAATCTCAATATGACCGCGAAATATTTTATGTGAAAAACACATTTTAATATGATAAAAAAAAACAATTCATCTATGGTAAGCTACAATAACATATCTCAAGAAAAATCTATTAGTCTATATTAATATATTAAAGAAAATATAAATTTTTTTAAGAGCGATTCAAATCTAACCATTATCATGAATAATATCAATATTAAAACTGAATGTGATTCTAAATATAATGATTGTGTAAGATTCAAAAATAAACATCGAATATCACTTATATGATTTATTATGAATACAACTAGACAATAATGTCAATTTATAAACTTTTTTTTAATTGTTATAATTTCTAGGATGACGATTTACAGATTGTTATAAATACCCGTTCATTCATTAAAATCATATGGCTTCTAAAAGATTTAAAATTCCCAGAGAGCGGTATGAAAAATATATTCAATGAAATTTGAACGTATTAATTTTTTTAAGTAGTATTTTTTCAAAATTTATTTTTATAATGGCTACTTAGAATTATAATAATAAAAATATCAATAAAAAATGTAAAATAATTGATTTTTATACTATATTAGTCAACAAATTCTAAAATGGAATGGTTGGGGTTACAAGGATTCAAAATTCATAATTAACGATAATGGTAACATACAATTTACTGGCAGTAGTTAAGTTATATCTTCATTTTTTAGTATAATGAAACTATATTTAGATAAATTATTTATTAATTTTTTTTCATTATCTTGTTTCTTATAGATATATGCTTTCTGGTTATGTATTGTCATCTTTAAAAGATTGGGTTATTAATAATTTGGGCATCAATATGTCTTCAAAAATAACTGTCCAAGTAAATATTTTAATTTGAAATTATTCACTTAATTAAATTTAGGAAAAACCAAATATATCAAAAGCTGAGATATGTACCATAAATGTTAAGCTTGTAAATCTTTTAGAGAATGAAGATATTAGTTATAGTTTGGATTTTGAAGATTGCCTATTCAGAGCTCATGGTTTCTAATTTTATAAAAAATAATTTATATTTTTAAAGTATATATTTATTCCATTTACATCTAAAATGTATCAGAATTAGTATTGTAAGTGGCTCAATTTAAAAAATACTACCAATATTAAAACTTTTAGAGAATGAAGATATAAGTTATAGTTTGGATTTTGAAGATTGCCTATTCAGAGCTTATGGTTTCTAATTTTATAAAAAATAATTTATATTTTTATAGTGTATATTTATTTCATTTACATCTAAAATGTATCAGAATTAGTATTGTAAGTGGCTCAAAAAAATAAGCTAACCAATATTTTTATCAAGCAAAATATCATTTAAAGTCTCGGGATTTTGTTAATAGATGTCTTAACCTTTCTGCTATTCATGAACAAAATGTTCAGCCTTGCATAATATTGGCTGGCTAAAATATTTGGCTGGCTAAAATATTTGGCTAGTCATTTAATAAGGCTAATCAGAATAAACACTGCCTTTTTTATATAGGTGGGCTGAAATTTAAAATTTTATATTAATTGGAAGATGATTATAAGTCAAAAATAATTATTTTTTTAGTTATGCAAACTTTTATTTTGCACTTTGCTGATACCAATTAAATGTATTGTTTATTAACATAAGTAAAAGCTATCATTTTTTTTAAAGCTACTTTCTTATTTTTATATTTCCATAAATTTTTTTATAATTCTCTTGCAATTTGGAAAAAAAAATTGATATTATTTTCTAAAATTATATTTACTCTTATTATATGTATCCACCAAATATTTAAAATTATTTCTTTTTAAAAAAAAAAAGATGAACCTATAACATTATTCTATAAAACATTATAAATCAAATCTAATGAATCATAAAATAATTTGGTATTAATTATAAGAAGACAAATATTACCACAGTTTAATGCTCATCATAATAAAAAATCTTTAGTGATTTTGGATATTCCCAAATTTTTTTGAGAATAATAGGAATTTTTTTTTAAACAAAAGCAAATTTTTTATAAAAAATTTTATAAGTAAATTTTTATATATATTGACAAATTTTGAACAAAAATTTTTTAATCTTCTTTAAAAAAATCTTAAATTTTATGATCTTTGAAAGATTATTATTTCATATATAAAATTTCTTGTATTTTCTTTAACAATAATGATTAAACTGATATTTATCAATAAAAGGTCACACATTAGAAGAAATATACACTCTGAGAACAGATGGTACTGTAAAGAAACTTCCGGATATTGTTGTTTGGCCCAAAAATCATAACCAAGTCAAGATCATTGTTGATTTTGTGGCCGATTTTTATGGCATTGATATGAGAAATGGTGAGGATAAATCAAAGAAAGAAAAGGATAAATACATCATCATTCCTTTTGGAGGTGGGACCAGTGTTACAGAGGCTCTAATATGTCCAGAAAATGATGAAAGAATTATCATATCTTTGGATACCAGTCAGATGGTTTAAACTTAGACTCTTTTTTTTTTAATATTATTTTTTTTGACAAAATGTAATCTAGACTTTGAATCTTTCAAAGAATTATCAACAATTATTTTTCCAGCTAATCGTTTCTATTTTAAAAAAAAGAGGTCCGGTTTGGGGAAAAAAGGAAGGTCGAAATTAGTTTGAGAAAACCTTTTTTTATAACTTTTCTGGTGCATTTTATATTTAATGAATTCTAGACAGATATATGGTTAAGGTAAGTCAGAAGATGATTAGGTTAAAAGGTTTTAGTATACTAGCCGCCATTTTGATACCGGAAAATTAAATTTTGGTTCGATATAGTAATAATGGTTTTTTTTTTGAATTGTAGTATAGGAACTTTAATTATTTAACCCTACGTTTCGTCCACTACAATTAAATAATGAAAAGGCTAAGATACTTTGGATAAATGAATATAATCTCACTGCCCGAGTACAAGCTGGTATCATAGGCCAAGAACTCAATTTTCAAGTTTTTCCTTTTTTTCTTCAAAATTCAAAATATATATATTTAATTATCATGGAAGGTAAGGAGGAAGGAAATAAATAAATATGTAACTTCACAGAACAGGTTCTTAATACATCTTATATTGCATATAACTTTGTTGATCCAAGCTAGAAAAGCGGGGATTTTGTTTTGGTCACGAGCCAGATTCTTACGAGTTCAGCACATTGGGTGGGTGGATAGCTACCAGGGCGTCCGGCATGAAGAAAAATGTTTACGGGAATATTGAAAACTTGGTATATAATAAAACTCTTTTTTTTTGTACCTATTTGATAATATAATTATCAGTTTTCTATTAAATTTTTCATCCTTATTTTTGCATATAAATTTTTAACATTTTCTTTTCCATCACGCAAAAAAATTATTTTACTTAATATAAATTAAATAATTGTTTATTTTATTTTTATGTAAAGGTTATAAACATCCAAATGGTCACCCCTAGGGGAGTTATATGCAAAAACTTTGAAGTAATAATAGGTCTTTTTTTTCAATTAATTTATATTTTTAAAAGAAAAAAAAATTAAGGTTAAAAATTTGAAAACCAAATATATTATAGTCAAGATCAATGGCTATAGCGATTCTTCCGATCCGATTCATCAAAAACTGATCAAATAACCTCTATTAGATCGGTTTTGGCTGTGTATCGGAAAATATTTGATTGACAAATATTTTATAGATCGGTATACTAACGCTTATATTACAAATTTGCCCTTTCGCCCCCTCCCAATATTTTTTTAAAAGGATTATTATGTAATATGGCGGTGCCCTTAAATCCAAAATTAATCGGGGGTTTGTCCCTTGCTGCTTTAAAATATATCCTTACACCCCAGTCCCGAGTATCCCCTAAGGTATTATTCTGTATTTAAACTTGCCTGGGATTTGAAAATTTATTTTATAGGCTCGGGGGCGAAAAGGTTTTTAGTTTAATTACACATATCCTTATATATATATAACAGGACATTCGATCCTCCACAGGTCCTGATGTTCACCACTTCATAATGGGTTCTGAAGGTAAAAAATACCGATAAATTACATTATACTCGGTTTATTATTTATAGCCATCAATATTTTTTTTTACTTCTTCTTTTTTTGGAAACCTCAATACCGTTTCCATGATTGAGTTTATAAATGGATACTCCGATATTTTTAGTCATTCCTATGATAACTATACTATATAAATAAATATATATCATATTGGGATGCGAGATCAACTACGATTTGGAATCGCTTAATTTTAAATCATTTACCGAGGGCGATTTTTAAATGTAGAGTATCTGATTTGACCGGATGTATATCGTACATCTACGCCGCCTGGCATCATTTTATAACGCGAACTTTATCACGCAATACTTTATCGCTAGGAAATCCCGTAACGCGACACAGTATATCATATAATATTTAGTCACATTTTTCAAATTCAATTATTTTTTAATAATGTCACACTTTTGTTTTTCATCAAATTTGTTCATCTAAGAAGAAGCAAAAAAATTTTACGAACTAGGGTAAATGCCCGCCATATTGCTCAACGTAAACCGCATTTTGAAAGTCGAATTTCTCACAAAAATTGGAATTATTAAAGGATATTAACCCATTAATGGTCAAGATTTTTCTAGTGGATAAAAATGCTCAATTTTTTTAAATTACATTGATTAATGCTCAAATATGATATTCTAAAAAAATTAGCCGAAAAAAATAATCCTAAATAGAAAATCTAGCCTGGTGCATATCTGCACCGTTAACCATTAAGAGGTTAAATTCTATAATATATTATAGTTGCTCATTAAAAAAAAAATTCTTATATCCAGGTAATATTTCTTCCGAGAAATTGTAAAGCCAAAGAAGATATATCCACAAATGGAGACTAGAAGAAGGATATAAATTATCTGATACATTTTAAGGTAAGTTATATTTCGCCCCTTTTCTGAAAAAGAGTGCTGACCAAAAGAAGCTTTATAGAATAATCTTCAAATAAGCTCAAATTGATATTTCGAATTCTTTTCATTTATCACAAATTATTCGTATTTTTTTTTACTGTAAATTGTATATTTCATGTATTGATCTGCTCATTTAGGAATTGCTTATTTTAAAGAAAAAAAATGGGGAAACCTAGTTTATTTTTATGAATTTTATTATAGCTTCTATAAATTATAGATTAGAGTTGTTAAACCATCTAACTTTGGACCAGCTCTAAAACGACCTAACCAAGTTTTAAATCAAAAATAATAGTCTCTATCATTAAGTCATTAAGTTGTAAACTTAGCCGTTTAAGTCGATATTTTAGGGGATAATCTTGACCACGCCATATGGGAGTTTGGTCAAAGTTAGGTAATTTAACATCACTATTATAGATTTTATAAAAGCGTATATTAATTGATTTTCACCCCAAGATACTAAAAGTCTTTAGGGGCCTAGTTTACTTGAGATTAGTGTTGTTAAACGGCTCTTAGCCGATTGCTAACTCGATATTTTATCCAGAAAAATAATAGGTCAACCTGAAGATTTTGATCATAGATGGAACGAAAGGTTGGACAATCTGTTAGCGAAATCTCGAGGCTTCTGGAATATTTTTCTGGCGAAAATAATTGAGTTAGCCGTTTTTAAAAATCATCGCTTCAAATGGAACCGTTTTACAACATTAGGTTCACGTCAAAATTTTCCTGAAATTTACAATATGGCTACCTTACACTTTGCTCGAATACTACGTTCGGTCAAATCGATTCTTTCAAATTTTGAAATCGTCCATTAGTAAATTTAAAAATTTAAGGATTATGAATCCTCCATGGATTTTATAATCCCACTAGGAACAACATATATAATAAAATAAAATACGAGAGGTAAAACGGAGGTCTTTTTAGCCACATCCCCCTCCATTTGAATTGATGCCATATGCCAATAATTTATAACTAATAAATACCTATAATTTATAAATGATTCTCACATCTGAAATGTATATTTCTCCCCAAGAAAAACCGAATATCAAGTCCACTGATAATAAAAGTGATATTTTCCCTAAGTTCTTATTACTCTCCACTAATATTCATGATCCCGGTGACAAAGTAACTAGATTTATTTATGGTTTTAAACTTAATCTGAACACAACCGCCTACATTTTATTCGGTTTCTATACCTTTCTGAACCCGAACCGATGGCTTTCAATAATTTAAAATATGAAAATAAGATGACGTAGGCGCAGACCTGTCAAATAATTGCCAAAATACTTTTTTTTCATTGGTGTTCTACTAGAGCCAATGAATACTGATTACAGCTGATTTCGATGTTTGTTACAATTTTCAAAAAGGCACTCTGGGAGTCATAACCGAGGCAACCATCAAAATCAGACCATTACCTCGATTACAAAAATATGGGTCTGTTATTTTTCCGAATTTCAATGCCGGAGTAGAATGTTTGAGAGAAATAGCTAAAAAGGTAAGAAGGGGTAAAAAAAAAATTGAATGAATAGAGAAGAAAATTAAATGAAAAACGTTAATAAAGAATTGATATAGAAAAGAAAATTAAATGATTAAAATAAATAAAGAATGGAAATAGAAAAGAAATTTTTTTTGAGGAATTACATAGATGAAAATAACTATTATCTTTCATGATTTCTTTGTTTTTATTTTTATACTAAAGAGATGCGCCCCGGCTTCCATAAGACTAGTAGACAATGCTCAATTTATTTTAGGTAAAATAATATAATTTTTTTATTAAATAACTTGCGCATGCGCAGCACTAAAATCTTATATTTCATACCCAGAGCCCACCATTTTAAATCGATCATATCATCCGTTATGTGTAAGCACTTTCCCGTAAGCCTTTCTATTATATCCTTCCATTTTTTAAATGATTATTTTGGCGTCCCCTTTATGGAGAACCTAACGAGTGATTTTTTAAAATATTACATATTATGTCTATCTGGATAACTCTCTTATTTCCATTTTTTATACTGAAAAGTATCTTTTAAGGATTGTTCTTCGCCAAATTCAAACTTCCGGTATCCGTAATTGGCCTCAAAAATATATCTGTCTCCCCCCTCCATTCCCCCCCCCCTCTAAATTCATTTTTTAAAATTTGATTTTCTATTAGGACAAGCATTAAAACCTTCTAATCGCGTTGATGAAGAAACTAATTCTAACGCGGATACTGTCAAGCATCGTTACGAGAGCGTTTTGAATTCCTTGCAAAAATTTTATTTGTTAGAATGGAAGAAATTTGACGTCAAGGAGATGTGCGCCGCGACTTTGATGTTTTTAGCCGATGATTCTAAGGTATTTTTTGAATTTTTAACTTTTCGATTTCTTTATTGAACGAGAGAAAATAGAAAAATTGGAAATTTTCATCGGTATCCATCCAAAATGGCGAATAATTTTATTTGCTATTATTTGGATATTCAAAAAAAAATTTGTTTTTTGATCTGAATATTGATATACATATTAAATGTTGTATAATTAGCGTTAAACAAATTTTTGAAATAAGTTATATGATTTAAATATACGATGAAAAAATAAATTAAATATTGTATTTCGGATCGGTTAATGCCGATTTTTACCGATCAATATCTATTTGATATCCGCAATATTGGACCGGCATCCGTACGTTTCAAATATTGTTTAATTTCTTTTGGCTTGCTTGTTATTTTTTTTATCATGTCTTCATCTAAAATTTGTAATGTTAAAAAAAAGCGTTCCTCCCCTTGCAGTTGGGTTTCTCTCAATATTTATCTATAACGAAACTTTTTGAGAAGTTTAATTTTTGTCTAATATACAAATCGACTTTTGATTGACATTAGACAAGAAATCACTATCTTTAGTGAGAAGGGAGGGAGGGGTGGGTGGAGCTATTCGATTTTAACTCCTAATCAGTAATCTCAGGGATGTGCCAATATTTCGATATTTAAAATGACCCTGGTTATATAAATGTGTATATCTCAGAATTGGCATCGGAATGGCATATAATTTTTTGATCATAAAACAATATTATTATGGCGTTAGAATCAGCAATAAATAGGCCGATTTTGTTTTGTCGATACTGATACCCCCCCCCTCCATTAAAAATTTTTTTGTTTTATTTTATAACCTTTATTTAAATATTTTTATTAATTAACATTACAAGATGGTTATGAATTTTGTAGATTATAACTAACCAAGGGGAATTTAACATCGGCACAGCCCTACTATAAGCAATTTGGATCTTTTAAGCCGGGCCTTAAAATCAATTTTCATAAACCGGTCCTGGATCATTAAGTATAATATCCGGGGTGATCCATGACCTCATTTTAAAAAACAGGAACCGGCCAGGCCTTTAAGACTTTTGTAGAATGAATGTAATAAATAACTTTTTATTCCTTTTCTTCCCTTTTTTGCAAGGAATTGGAATCACAGGAAAATAGCGTTTACGGCATAGTTTCAAAGCACGGGTAAAAAAAATATAAAAAATATTTCTTTATGGTTTATGACTTTTAATATTTGAGCGAGGATTTAAGCCAAGCGACTATTATACAGTTCTATCTATCTCCGTTTATTAACCTTCCTAATTCATCTGTCTTACCTTTTTTTGTCATATTAAAAATTTAGCGTAGGTATTATGGAACACGTGACTACTTTTTATCGATTTTATCTAGCGCGCTACGTCGACGCGTATCATAATCAGTTTTAAAATTAACTATCAATAATTGATTTGTCAAGCTTATTTCATTTTTATATTCTGGATATGATATAACATATATAGTCAGTTTTCACTGAAAGACTTAATTTTTTTTCAAATCTATTAGATCTAATACTATGTTTAACCTATTCTAATAAAAAACTCATATGGCCTTTTACATCGGATGTTATAAAATTTTTATTCTATCTTTTTGTTTTTTTTTAAAAATTTTGGTAAAAGTGTGTGTGCAATTGTAGTTTCCCAACCCTAATATGATTATTATTCATTTTGGTACATAACATACAATATACCGCTATCTGTTAATTTACTTAGCTTTACTAATTAAGGAAATAAATTTTAAATACGATTTTTTTTTACCCTTCTAAAATTTTTAAAAATATTAGCTACGAAGTCTTGCAAATGTAAGACCGACTATAATAATCAACAAATCAAGACAAAATTTAGAATTTATATTAAATTTTTGAATGGTCAATTAATTTTAAGATAAATTCATGAAATGCCCATGCCTAATGAGTACCATGATTTTCAGGCGGTCCCCTATTTTACTTCTTTTTACCATAAATTTTTTTAATTATTGCAAATAATAATAGTGGTTTGAAAGGTGGACAAGAAAACGGGCTAAGGGGATACCTACTAACCTTCGTCATAGCATATATACGGGTAATAAACAGAATTTTTTTTTTTTTGGGGGGGGGGGGGGGCTGAGAAAATCCATTCTATAAATTTATTAACATTAACATCTGCTCCTTCAGGGTAGTCGTCAACTAATATCGATTAAGCATGCTTTTAGTTAGACCCTTACGGAAGAAATTGTTGGACCTTCCTACTTTAGGCTACTTGCTTTGGCTTACCGTTTAATTTCACTTGAACAATACTTTTTCCCAACCATTATTTAATGATAATAAAAGAGTATTCTTAGAAAGTTTAATCTATTTTTTTTCTGGTAATTTTCTATATGACAATTTAAAACCCATGTAAAGATAAAGTTATAACTTTATTGGATAATTTTTCTCTTTTATTCTTTAAGGATGTCAATAATCAATGTTAATTTTTTTTTAGAATTATAATATAATTGTGCCTAAAAAGGGGTTAAAAATATTTTAGATATAAAACCAATAGGGCCATTTAAAAAAGGAGAATAATTAAGTGTTGTCTTAATCATATGCAATGGCCAGGATTCTTTGAATAATTTTAAATTATAACTGATTACAGCTAGAGGAGATTTAGCCTCTTTTCTGTAAGAACGAGAAATTGATACACTGATGGCATGAATGTTATCGACACATATATTAAGGTATTTTAGGCGTTTCTTCTTTCTGAATAATTCATAGTGAATCTTAATTGCTATGAGAGAAGGAAATATGCCAATACAAATGAATTCCCAATAGTTGCCTTTATTCTTTGGGAAGAGTGTATATCCAGCAGGTGGAATACTGTTAATAATTAAACGATCGCGGTTCGAGCTGTGGAAATATTAGCTCCATATAACACTTTTTGAATGATCCTTAATTATTTCACCGATCTCTCATATATTTATCTATTAAAAAAAAGACAATGGAGTCAATGTTTTATTTTTTGGCAACGCTCCATCACATCAGTCTGATTCCATTGCATATCTAAATTTGTCGTTCGTTATAAGATCTAATTGTTTTTCCATGGATAGGCCGCTTCTAGCCATTCTTAACCGGTCTTGTCTATAACCAATATTCAGAAGTTGATAAAATGCTGGGCTCATGTTGATTAAAAAACAAGATATCTTCTCTATTATCGTTTTAATCATTATCATTGGTTTAAAGATTTTCCTCTTTACAGAGATGTCTTTGTTTTTCCAGAACGTGCATTATACCGAGCTAATTACTTAAAGGAAATTACCGAAAAGAATAGCCAAAAATACTCTCATGTCTTCATGAAATAATAGTTATATCAACTTCCTGTTCTTTTGGGAAAAGGGGCAAATCTCTAGTCAAGCTTATAAATCAAAGACATTTAAAATTAAACCAACAACCTATAATCATTCTTCTTTTGAATTTATCCTTAAATACCCGCATTGTAATTTTATTTTTAAATTTAATATATCTTTTAACGCCTTTTCAGGTAAAATTATAACATTATAATTTTGCTTATATATATTTGAAACAAGTAAATGTTTTAATTGAAAAAAAAAATTAATAAACATTCAAAAGTGATAAACTTTTTATGATTACTTTAGTTCCCTTCCAATATCCTATTTTATAAAATGTTCTATTTGTTTACCAAGATTCAATTTTTACCAAATATGACTAAACATATACCATCATATATTTTTTTTTAAAAACAAAGGATTTGGGACTAGATTTCGGAGTTTTGTCGGAGTCCTTTGAAACAGCTGTGCCTTGGGATAAGTAATGAACCCTTAAATTTTATATTTTAAATTTTAATAGTTTTTTTTTATTTTATAATATATAATATTTTTTTCATACATTTTAAATTATGATTTTTTTTTTTGAATTTTTATATTTTATTACCCTTCTTAGCGAATAAGTGAATTTTTTTAAATGATTCATTTCTTACGTCCTGCTATTTTAATATTTTTTTTATGGAAATATATTTAATAAAAAATGGTCCTTACCTAAATATCAGAGCTAAAATGAATGGTAAATTAAATTTTTTATAATTATCTAGAATATTTAAAAAAGGGGTCTTGAAAATTAGCAGCAATATAAATATTTTATATTGAATTGAATATTATGCAAGGTAAAAAAAAGCTGATTATAATTTTTTTTTAATTCTTAAATATAAAAATATTTAAGGGTTATAGATTTGTGCCGAAACGTGAAAGACAAGATTCGGAGAGATTGCGCAGAACGTTATGGTATAACTTTTCCGCCTTTTGTTTCATGCAGGTATATTATTAAAATATACTATTTAACAAAGTCGTTAAAAGATACTTTTCAAATATCGATAATATCAGTAACCGATCAACTAAAAAAATGTATTTAGATACAATATTGTCCTGCCTTGATATTTTAACAATTCTGTATCCGAAAATATATTTGGTATTATAGTAAACATAGCCTAAACGATTTAAAAAATCTTAGTCTTTAAATTTTTTATGGGTGAATATGCTAATTATATATATATATAATTCAAGTTTGATGCATTATCTTATTTCTCAAAGATTTATTACTTCGTGACCTTTAGTAGGTTTTTATTTTAGAAAAATATAAAATTGAAAGTTTCAAAAATATTATATAAAACAATTAAAAAGCAAAAAATAGTAAATGTCATGAGTTGAATAAAGCACTTCAATATTTGAGCTACTATTTTCTCAAGAAATAGTAGTACATTAATAGGCATTATATCCAATATTTTTTTGACCTGACTTTGAAATTTGGTTCAAAAGTCAATTTACTATATATCTTGTATCTAAGATCGAGCAGACATTGGGCTTGGTCGGATCGGACCTTTAAAATTTTCATTAGAGCCAATTGTCGATTCAAGAGGATATGATAATAATATTCTAATCACGCCAAAAACTCTTTATAAAAATATTATATTTCATTAATTATTGTTCTATAATACAATAAAAATAACGGATATTTAGGAAGTTTCTGGAAAAAGTTTATTATTAATATTTTCCAAAAAGAGTCACCCAAACGTACGACACAGGCGCTTGCGTTTATTTTTACCTGGCTTTCAACTCCAATTATATCAAAAAGGATACAAGAATGGGCAAGATAGATCCCATTAAGATATACAGAAAAATTGAAGTTAAATAAAATATTTTAAGACGCGTTTTCCGCCCCCCCCCTTCTACGTAGCTAATTAGACCGAATTTAAAAGCCATGACTTGGAGAGGGAATTAAACATTGATTTCTTACGATTTGTTTTTTCTATTAATATTTTTTGGCATTTCATCAATCATATTTGGCAACTCGGGAATTCCCCCCCCCCTTCATTAAACCCAATTTTTAACATTTCCAAAAACCGGTTCTAATAAAAGTGCAATTAATCCCACGTGTTTACTGCTCAAAAAACTGTAAGATTTTCCCATTTTTTTTTATTACTTAGTTTGAAACCTGGAACCGCGTCAAAATTTAAAATCCAGAACAATTTTTTTTTTTAAATAAATTTATAGGAATCGGTACCATCTTTTTTTTTCATCTAGGTTCCAAATTTTGATTAAAATATATAGAAAGGTTTTTTTAAGAAAAAAAATCGATATTAAGGAAATTATATATTTTACCTTAGTATTTAGTAGCAATTCAAAAATTAAGTTAAATTTTATTTTGTTTTTGTAAAAATAAAAAAATGCGCCGGACAAAATATGGACTTTCTATAGGATAGCGCGAGAGATGAAATAATAAAAAATGGAGGCAATCTCTCGCATCATCATGGGATAGGCAAAATCAGGAAACAATGGATGGCCACCCAATTTTCACCAACCGCTTTAGAGGCTATTCGAGCTTTAAAACTCCGATTGGACCCTGATAATATATTCGCCAATGGAAATTTAATCGATTAAAAAAAGAAGAAAAAATTTTTTTTTTGCCCCCCCCCCCTGTTTTTATTATTTTTGAAGTCATAATTTGTAAATAATTCATATTATTTAAATTTAAAAGAAAAGGCAATTAATAATTAGAAAACGGGCACATAAGTTTAAAAGGTTATAAATGTTCTAGGATTAACGCCAATAATGAATAATCAATAAATCATTTTGATATATGAATCAGAAATTAAAAATATCTTATGAGGTAAGATTAACAAATTTACCTCTTTTCAAGAATTTTATTTTTTTTAAAAAAAGTCACACCTCATTTTATTTCAAATTATATGAATGACATTTCACCGTTTTTTATAGTTTAAAAAAAATAATATATATTTTTTCCTATTATTTATAAATATTTAATAATTGTATTAAAACACCACAAATTATTATTGCATTTGTATATTACATAAATATGGATTATATAAAAAAAACACCGCGTGATTAATTTAATTTATAATAAAATTTGTATTATGCTTATCGTATAATATAGAAGTATATCAAGTGACATCGGATCCCTATTTCTAATGGATCAATTCCCATTCCTATTTTTTTTTAAATATTTATCCCACTAAGATCAGTTAACGCGAAATCCACTTGTATATCATTAATAAAAGAAGATTATGCCCATATCCTGGTTCTTCTTATTTTTGAAACTTATCTCTGTTTAGACCAGTCTATTCAGATTTTGAACTAGGACACCCCCAGTTCTGCTTTAAGTGTAACTAAATCTAAATAACCTTCATTTTTATTCTGTCTAAAGGAAACTATATAGACGACTAGACAGATTTCTGTTTATAAATAAGGGGTTTAAAATTTTTTTTTTAAATGATTAAAATTTAGGGTTTGAGGAAACTTCAATTATTAAATGTTGTATAATTATATTTAGTAAAATTTACTATTTATGGAATTTTTTTCTTCTTTGTATATATTTTAAAAAAAAAATTAAATGATTGTTCAATATTATTTATGAGGTGATTTACGCAAAAAAATTGAGTATTCCTTTTTTGTAAATTAAAAAAAAATGCGAAGAAGAACGAATAAAGAATCCAGTGACAAGATGGACGGGATGAGGGCGAGATCAAAATAGGCTCATCAATTTCGAACTGTTGGCCGGGTTACCTTTAGGTTTAGAAGAGTCGGTCGAATTTTTCGTATCGCCAGATGATGGTTCACTCTTTTTGTTCGCATCCAAATTTCCTTCATTGTGCTCGTGTGTCGCCTTTTTGTCGCCGTTTGATTTACCGGTGTTAGAAGAGTAGGTCTTATTCGTTTCTGAGTCTCCTTTATTTTGTCCTACGATATCGGCGCGAGCCTCATTTTTGTTGCTAGCCAAACCAGCACTACTGTCACCATCTAAATCTTTGCTCATCGTGCTTTCTCCATCACCGTAGTCACCGTAAAGTTTGGGGTATTGTTGAAAACAAGACTTTTTAAAATGAATTAAAAACGAAAAATGATAAAAAAAATATATATATTTGTTGAAGGCATTTTTTTTTATCCACAGGCATATACGATACATAAAGTTGCTTAATAAGCAAAAATAAGAGTGTAACCGTAAAAATTTACCATTAATAAATAGTAGCGTTGTTAGATATTTAGATTAGCCGATTTTGTTTTTAAAAAAAATGGGGAAGATCATTTAGGGCCAAACAAATATTGCCTACGCCTGGAGTTTTCCAGTAGATGATAGAAAAGTTTGGTCCTCCTTTTTTAGCAAAACGAATTTTAGGAAATTTGGTTTGGCTGAAATCTCGTTGTGGTTAAATTGAGGTTTTGAACAGCACTAAATAAATAGGTATTAAAGTCTCGTCGAACCAAAAAATAACTATCTCTGAATATTGAGAGAAACCCTGAAGGATATAAACTAATCTAATAAAACAATATAGAACAAACTATTTTAAATTTGTATATGATGAATATAATATTTTATAATATAAATGGTATCTTAAAATATTATTATAATCATCTTTATTTATATACATATGATAAGCGTTACTTTTTAATTTATAGCTATAAAAAAAAAGTAAGGGAAATGTATTATATTTTAATTGACAATTGTTTAGACGGCAAAAATGTTAATTTTTTTAAAAAATCTTCAGATAGACCGACCAAAAAGTTTTGGGGGTAGTAGAACAGTATTACAAAATTTTAGGGAGTAGTTCGAAATTGATAGCGCCAATTTTCTTTATTCCACGAGGGCAAATAATTAAAATCAAAAAATTTCGTTTTGGACTAGATAAAAAAAAAATAAGATTTTTTTAAATGTCACTTACAATTGAAAGGTACCTAATTATTTTGTAATAAAGAAGAATAACTCAAATTTAGGCACAATATATTTTTCTACCCCTAAATTATTATTATAAAAAAAACGAAATACATATCTAAGAACAAATTATGTGATTAGAATTCTTTCAAAGTCTTCGAAAAGGTTTAGGTTCTTTTCTTTAGTCAATGTTAGTGTTAAACGGTTAACATGGCTGGAGATTTTGCTCCTAGATGTAATAAAATCACGAGGTTTACATAATATTATCTTGGCTAAAATCTTTATCTAAAATTGGCTAAATAACACCGTTCAACATAACTACTTTAATCAAAGCATATGCAGCACGTCGTAAGCGTCGTCGTTTAAGTCATGCTCATATTCGCCTATTTCCAACCCCCCAAACAAATAAATGATTTGAAAAAATTCAAAAAAATTAGGAATGCCACACCAATTTTTTTTTTCTTTTCAGTTTAGAGATCTATTGTGCAAGAAAAGGAATTAAAATCAAAATTCTAGAATTCGGGCAGGGCCAGGAATTATGTGTTAAGGAACCCAAGCCAGGCCGCCTCTGCTGTGCGCTCTCGCTCAAACCAATTCCTTCAAGGATTGTCAAAACTTTAAAAAATCAAAATAAGTTATAAAAAAACAAACCTGCATATTGGAAAACTTTTCCAAGCAATCGCTTCCCTTAACTTCAGCCGTCGATTCATGAAAACAAGTGAAAGCTTCCATAAATTTATCGGCGCAGGGTCCACTAGCCATGTTACCCAAACAAGGGCAATTCCAATTTATGGTGCCATCGGGGGATATTAAACCTACGATTAGCATGTGTGATTTAAAAAAAAAAAAATTTGTGATAAAAAAATATATATATGCTTTGGAAGTATATCTTATTTATTATTATATAAACATAAATGCCTTAAACCGGCGACATTTTAAGGAACATTTTAGAATTATATTTTTTATTGAACTGCCATGTATTTTAAGTTTTTTTAAAAACCTCTTGTTATGCTCGGCTATCTTCTACTATGTAATTATTTAAAATTGTTAAGTAAACGAATATCAGCTAGGCTTCATTTATACTAAACTGGGCAACAAATGGATCATTATTTTTTTAATAAGAATCTACAGATAAAAGATCATGAGTCAATAAAAAAAAAATCGTAATTAATATAACCCACACATAAGTAAAAAAATAAAACATTTAGTTGGATAAAGTCCAACAAGAGGTTATAAAAGAAAAAATTTACTATAAATGTAGGCTTTGTCAAATTTAGAGGTCAATTTTATTATTATGAAAAGATTTTTTGTTTAATTTGTTATATATATATGTATGTATATATTTGGGTAGAATAATTTCAATAAGGACAGGGGTTAAAAACGAGTCCCTACTTCTCAAACAAAAAATCCAATTTGAAATCCTAAAAGGGAACTACAAGTGTTTCTTCGAAACACTCCCCTTTCCCTCTTAGTTTTTTATTATAATAATAATGTATTTTTTTTTACATTTTAATAAATTAACAATTTATTTTCCATTAATTAATTTTTTATTCTACTTCATATAATGAATAGAAGAGATGAGAAGAGAAGAGAAGAGAAGAAGAAGAAGAAGAGAAGAGAGAGAAGAGAAGAAGAAGAGAAGAGAAGAGAGAAGAGAGAGAAGAGAAGAGAAGAAGAAGAGAAGAGAGAGAGAAGAGAAGAGAAGAGAAGAGAGAGAAGAGAAGAGAAGAGAAGAGAGAGAAGAAGAGAAGAGAAGAGAAGAGAAGAGAAGAGAAAGGTATTTAACTAAAATCATAATATATTTGCCTAAATTTTTCATGTCTTTCATAAAATATCTATAATTTGTTAAGCAATAAATATATATTAAAGTTACTTAAAAAAGTTTTGTGATAATGGTATTCATTATAAAATTTTTAAACAAATGAGCATTTTTTTTAGTTCAAAACATATCATTTATTAATTTTAGATATATCAAATGATTAATTTTTTTATAGAAAAAAAATGGCTAAATGATTATATTAAACGTATGATTTAATCAAACCCCATTTTAATTACACTCATAAAGTGATCAGATATTAATTTTTATATATAAAAATAAATCTGTTGATCTGTTCAAATATTTGAAATTGAAAGTTTTTAAAGGACCATCAAATTATTTCTACCTAGGGATGTGGGGGTAAAGACTGTCTGTCAATCATTGTATTATTATATATTATATTCTAAACTGTCAATCATGATAATATATATATTATGAGATAGAGTCTGTATTTTATATATTAGATCAACTTATTGAATATGTATGAAATGTTCCGTTTTAACCCAAACGCTCTAATTACTGTGATGTCTGTAATTGTAACACTTATAAATTCCAATTTTATTGAATATGTAGGAGTATTGAATATTAATAAGTTGATTGAATATATAAAATACAGACTCTATCTCATAATATATATATTATCATGATTGACAGTTTAGAATATAATATATAAAAATACAATGATTGACAGACAGTTTTATCATATAAATATTACAACAGTAATCATGCAACTCCTTCAATAGAGTAAGGGTGTGGTTCCTCGAATTTATAAATTATTTGAAATTATTCATAAATATTTGATTATTCATCTCCAAAATTATTCAATATTCTATTGTATTCAAAATTATTGTGAGTATGTTCCTTATATTTCTACCTTTATAAATCAATATTTTAATTTCATTAATATAATTATTTTTAATAAATTAAATAATCAAATCAAATAGTGTTTTTATTCGTATGAATACAAATAGAAAATTATTCAATTTTATGAATTCAAATTTGAATCAAATAATTTTGTGAATATAGTATAGTGTGGTATTCTCCTTAATTTTATTTTTTCATATGCTAATTTGAGCAATTTGGATTTATTAGCTTGCTATTTGTGATTGTTAAAAAATAGTGAACTCAAGTAAAAGCTTTTGTTTTTAGTGTCAAATGCAATTTAAGTTTTTGATATTAGAAAAGATGTCTAAAGATTAGATGTAGTAAGATGTTGACTTAGTTTTATAAATTTTTTAACTACTATTTTGAGTTGAGTTAAAAAAAAGGTTCAAAGTACTAAAATCAACTTCTAATCTATGTGTAATAGAAAGTTGGACCAATCATCATTTTTTAATCTACAAGAAAAGAGTGAAATATCATTTTTTTTATCAACTTTTGCCCTTTTAAAAGTTTTAGGTAAAAGAAAAGAGTGGATACATATGTAATAAATAATTAGTTCCTAGATACATAGTAATAGATTCCAAATTTCATCTATTACATAAGTATTAAAAATAATTTACAAATTATACATGAAATATAAACTATTATTAGGCAATCAAACATTATTAACTTCAAATGTAATACACAAAAATATATGCCTTATCAAAAAACAATTAATTAAAATATCTTCTTAAATAAAGTATTAAGGAAATTAATATTGTATATTTTATTCATTATCCATATCATTATTAGCTATTTCCAAAAAAACACTTATTCATTTTATTAACACTTATTTTTAAAGGAAAAGCTATATTCAAATAAATATATATATATATACCTTTTGAACTTTCATCATCATCTTCAAATAAAGCCTTTTTTGTATTTTCATCTAGTTCTGGTAGTTTGCTGTGATCGGCTTTTGTCACATATGTAATTTTGTCTTTTCCTAAGTTAAGCAAATAAAATATTTAAGCACTTATTATCAAAGGTTATAACCTTTTTGTTCACAGTAAGACATCTGCATGTATACTGATATATTGTTCGAATTTATAAAAAAAATAAAATGATAATAAGAAACAATTAGTCAGATTCAGGAATTGCGTGATATACGTGATAATTAAAAAAATTGAAAAGCAAAACTATTCATTCGGATAACAGCATGTAGATCTTAAAATTAATAGCAATTTACTAAACAATGCCCATATTTTAACAAAGAATTTTATCAAATATTTTTATTTAAATTTATTATAAACTCATTTTTTAACAAGTGTATGAATTTGAACAACTCGCATCTTTCAAATTAAAACTCTAAATGATATTCTAAGCTATCATAAGTGTTGTATCTGTCGATTTGTAATTGACAGATATGGACTTTTTCAATTGTTTTCGAGAAGATATAAAATTATAATTAATAATCTTTGTTTTAAGATTTGTATCACTGAGATTATATATATTATTGAAAATTTTTTGGAAATAAAATTATGGACATGAAATATTGATTATATACTTATATACATTATAGATAATATTAGTGCCATTTTGACCATGGACGAGACACTTGGGGAAATATTTGACAAAATATAAAAAAAAAATTTGCGATCATGCAACATTAGGAATATAAAAAAAAATTAAAAAGCAACAAGGATATTTTAGACTACAACAAATATTTTACCAATTCCGCAAAAAGATAATATAGAATGTAAGGTATAAGCAATGACATTAATACGATAGACTGCCGATCGTAATGCTAAAATCAAATTTGAAGTGACAAAAATTGAAGTGACTGGTGGCCATTTTGTGTTTGTATCTTTTACGAAAGAAGCATATGATAATTTCATAAATTTCAGGTATATTTTTATTATGTTTATATTTATAATATATATATATATATTCTAATTAAACACCAATTTATTATTTACCTTATATATTATAGTATATATGAATCAAATAAAGGTCACTACTGAATATTTTACTTGAAATATTTCTGCTCTTTATTAACATTTGCAATTTATTATTTAATAATGAATATCAATTGAATTTAATATTTTTTAATTACTAAAAGATTTAAAATGGTAGTATATTGCTGAGGAAGCAAAATTTCCTTTCATAAGTATGATATCTCAAATTAATTATTCTATTGTAAAAATTATTTATGGCAGATTTCCTATGAAAGATAAAATATTACAAAAGTGGACCCATGCTGTGAAGAGAGAGAACTTCAATGTAACAAAATATAGTAAAATATGTTCAAAGCATTTTACACCAGATTCATTTATTCCATCTATTACAAATCATGTTCAATTAAGAGAGGGAGCAATACCATTAATTTTTAATTTTCCAAAGCATCTTCTAAAAGTAACAAAATAATGAATAATAAATTATAACATGCAGGTTTCCTAGAAGCCAGATTAATTCAAAAATACATGATTATTTTTTTTTATAGAAATCAATTCTAGATTTCTTTTGTATTTTTATAATTTATGTCTTTTATCTTTTATTTTGGCTTATAATTATGTTATTCCTTAATAAATATAAAATACCCATTTCTAAATATTTCTTTATTTAAATTTAATTCACTAAAGTATAAAAATCCATAATGTAAATATATATCATGAAAAATACAAATAATATATATTATGTTATATTTACATCAAATAAAATAATTGTATTAATCTAATTAATATGTATCGCGAAAAGAAAATATTAATCTTATAAATCAACAATAAATACAAATAATATATATGTTATATTTATGTCTAATAAAATTAATTTATTATAACCAATAAAGTCATTAGAAATTTTCAGATAATTTGTTCTTCACCTATAAATATTTAAGTTAAATAACATATTTTTATATTACTTATTGCCTTTGAAAAAGTACAGCCTTGTTTAGTTTTTTGATATTTAATTGTAATTTTTGATTTACTTTATTACCAAAATGATGCATTCTTATGTGCAGGTATCTGAAAATAAATTTTTATTAAAATCAAGTAAATATTATATATACCTTTTTATTATAAGTCTTATTATAACTTGATAATGACTTAACCCTGCCTCTTGATCAAACATATGATCTTGCAGGTCACTAAGGATATTTGTACCTAATATTTTTGACAATATTAGACATTCTATTTTTTTAACAGCATGTCTTTTGGTTATTTCATCTACTTTTTCAAAATCCCTGAATGAGTTCTCTGTTATTTTACATAAATTTGACACGCTTTGGGATGGTATTATCAATCCACCATAATTCTTAACTTTTATTAATGTATAATTATTGTCGTTTGCGGAATTATCAATTAGGGAATGTAAACAGATATCACATCTAACTTTCTTTTCTTCATATTTAGTAGTGACCTTTATTTGATTCATATATACTATAATATATAAGGTAAATAATAAATTGGTGTTTAATTAGAATATATATATATATTATAAATATAAACATAATAAAAATATACCTGAAATTATGAAATTATCATATGGTTATTTCGTAAAAGATACAAACACAAAATGGCCATCAGTCACTTCAATTTTTGCCACTTCAAATATATTAACCGGCAGTATATAGTATTAATGTCATTGAGTATAATTATTGTCGTTTGCGGAATTATCAATTAGGGAATGTAAACAGATATCAAATCTAACTTTCTTTTCTTCATATTCAGTAGTGACCTTTATTTGATTCATATATACTATAATATATAAGGTAAATAATAAATTGTTTAATTAGAATATATATATATATTATAAATATAAACATTATAAAAATATACCTGAAATTTATGAAATTATCATATGGTTCTTTCGTAAAAGATACAAACAGAAAATGGCCACCAGTCACTTCAATTTTTGCCACTTCAAATATATTAATTGGCAGTCTATAGTATTAATGTCATTGGGTATAGGTATAAAAGGCTTTCAATTGTCTTAATTGAGCAAATTAAAGTAAGTGGTAAAAAGTATAACAAGGGTTTAATAGGTTTTATAATTTTGTAAGTTAGTGGAATATAAATGGACGAACCGTTATATATTACTGTGATATAGGTTTAGGTTGGTGATATAAATAAAGTAATCATTATATATTACTGATAATAGTGTACTTTTGGGAAAATATTTTTTGGGAACCATTGGATATGGTGGGAGTAATAATTTCTGTATTTATATATTTTGTTTTAGCTTTTAAACCCAGTGTTTTGATAATAATTTTATTTTTTAACCCTTAAGACTCATTAAATGGCGTTATAGGTATTCCGTCATAGGAAATGAAGACCTCATGTTATGAAGGACAGAAAACATTTGTGATTATAATTAGCATGAATAAATTTTATTTGAAATGTTATGTGAAGAAGAAAAAAATTGTGATGATATTGATATTTTTTTTTTTTAAAAAAAAAGCTGATGAAAATTATGGATATGAAACATTTTGCTAATGTTTACAAAAAAAATGAAAAAAAGAATTATTTGACTGATGTTGTATATAAAAAAAAGATATAAATGAAATAAAAAGAAAAATTTGGTGATAAATAATATTCAAATTCCAGGTTCGATATTAAACATGTGCTAAAGATGGATTGACAATCAATTGGTCATAAATAATTCAAGTTTTTAAATAGAATAATAATGTTAAAAGTTTAAATATTCATACGTAATATTATATATATGTAAAGGTAAATTAATAAAAATATTCATTTGATTTTGGAGGTTATATAAATGAATTTGATATTATTTTAGACCTAAGGAAAAGAGCAGAAAGGAATAAATTATCATATAATAAAAAGTCTCATGTGAATTTTGGGATAATAAATTTTTTAATATCTGAAATTTAGGATTATGATTAATAGGGATAACTTTAATAGAAAGATAAAGAATACATTTTGGAAATAAAAAAAAACATTCGACTGACTTACTGTTCATAATATTCTGTTCAATCAACTACAAAGATTTTTCCCATTCAACTAAAATGTTTTGCCCAATCAAACTACAATAATTGCCCAATCAACTACAATGATGCTGGATTAATAATATTAAGTAGAGAATGTTGTATGTCCAATGATGCAATTGATCAAATGAGCTATGACTCGTTAACCATTAAATTTTAATGACAATCAACAGTCCAAATACCTTTGAATTAAAGGATAATCAACAGCATAATGACAATTACATATGTTTAAGAAAAAATATAGAACTTCCTGAAACAGTAAAAAGAAAATTTAAAGAAAATAAATAATGATACTAATTTTTAAATTTCTTTTTGATTATTTATTAGAATTCATGTAGACATTTACTTTGATTGATTATGTATGTAAATTGTATTTTTATAACCAAGTTGATTTCTCAAGAAAGGGAAAATGTGGTAGCTGTTGATTTATAATTGAGATATGGGCATTATTCAATTGTTTTCGAGAAGATATGATATTGCAATTAATCTTTTTTTGATTTGTATCACGTGAGTTTATATATATTATTAGGAATTATATGGAAATAAAATTATGAATATGAAATAATATATACTAATATACATTATATATAATAGTAAAAATGTAAAAGTATCTTGAATGGAATATAAATATATTCTTTTAGGATATTCTCAAATTAAAATCTACATGACAATAAATATACATAGGAAGCAAACCCCTCTTTATATGCCTACTTTCCTAAAAAGAAATTCTGCCTTTCAGGGGAAAAATTTATACGCTATTAATTACTGAGTTTAGGAATGAAGCAATTTTCACCATTTATTTTTGATTATATTTTTAATGGCTTCTAGATACATTTAATGTGATCATAGCCGTTGCGAGGAGAGAAAAGGGAAGTCCCTCTTTAAAAATTTTCCTGTCATTGTAAATATCATTTTAAGCAAATAAAAAAATTTCCCATACAAACCTTCCACCCTTACAATATATCACTCTAAAGAAGAGTTTGAAAGAAAAATTAGAAAAAGTTAATAAAATTTTAAAATAACGCCTAAATTTCAAAATTTTTTTTAAAAAAGGATGTTTTATAAATAAAAAGTGAAAACCAATATTTTTATAAACCAATTACATATGTCATTGAATAAAAATTAAATAAAAACGCCTAATGGATTTAAAGACCTCCAATAAAATTTATGTGGCAAAAAACTTAAAATCGGTCACTGTAGATGACTCTGTGTTGAATTGACCGATTCACAAATTAATTTCGCAAATTCTCACATTCGACGTTTTAAAATTTATATTAAAGGTATTTATATATAAATCATTTACATTATATATTTTTGGGATTCAATAAACCCAGTCTGAAAGATTTGTAAATCAAGATTTAAGCAAAAAGTATTAAAGTAAATAAATGAAAATATTAATATAATCTTTTTTAGATATGGAGGAAGATAATCATCAATTTATTAGGTGGTAAAGGAGCTAACTTTAAACGAAGAGCTCTAAGATTTAACCTAGCTAATGATATTCTACATAAAGGAACTATTTTTATGATATTTAATTTATTATATAAAACTTAGAAAAATAGTTATCATGAAATATGATGAACAATTAAGATTTTATATTTTTGTCGCATCACCTCTAGTTGGTATATTATATCTTAAAATAATAATAGTTTGTAATATCAAAAATATACTCGTAATAAAAATTTACTCAAGACTGTTTTTCAAAGAAGATAAAAATAGCTTTCCTAAAAACACATAAAAAAAGAGAAGGAAATAAAGATATCTAATAAAATTACACCCATTGTGGGATGATTAATAAGATGTTTAAATTTTTAATAATATATATTTTGATTAAATAGACGGCATTAAAGAATTGAATGCAAACTGTTACTTATATTTATTTTCAAAAACATTGATTAGTAAAGTTTATTAAAATATTAACTATAATATATTCTATAACTGTCAAATATATCTGTAAAAGTGGCATTTTACATACTATTTTGACCAATTCTATATCATAGCGGATTAACAACTATATGTCCACTTACTTTTTATAAAGAAATTTTTTTTACTTATTTGAACCTTGGAAATATTTTTAGGCAGAGGTATGGTCAAAAAATGAATAATATAGTTAATTAGTTGTTTGAAACTCGGCTAATTACAATATTAAACTTGTTAATTTTCAATTAATTAATGATTATATTTATTTAATTATGGTTATAAAATAATTCAAGTAATAAAAATCAATTAAGCTTCAACTTTTACTGTTAAATTAATATTTATACATTATTATTGATATTTTTACTAACAGAGAATTTGATTATAAACTGACTTAGTGAAATAATAATTTATATGTATTAATTTAATAATTAAAATAGCTCTCCTTTAATAAAAATTTAGTTAGTCTTATTAATTTTTAAATAAATCAAATCTATATATAATACTTAATAAATTTATTTTTAGTTCAGGGGGTTATTAGAGACTATTCAAATTTTTTAGGTGACTCGAGCCCCTACGCTTCCCCCTAGTGACGCTACTGAGATTAACGGACTAACTACTTATATGGCATAATTACATAACCTGAAATATAATTGATCTTTCTCAAACTGATGTCCTCTCTAATCTAACCCCAATTAGATTTAAAAAAATAGATTCTGTAGGGAACGAGGAAAGTAGTATAAATTGGGAACGATAATAGATATAAACAAATTCGATATAATCGAATTATTTCGGTTAATGTTTATAAGCAGTTTTATTAAAGATATATTATTACAATATTTATTGTCTTGTATACATCAGAAAATAAAATATATAATTATTAAAATCAATTGAACATATTATCTAATATTAAATTGACGCCTCAGAATATAAAAATTTAGTATAACTAAAAAATAAACATTTTAATATAATTTAACAAACATATAACAAAAATATAAACATTTTCTCTATTAAAATTATACAATCAGCTACAAATATCTGTGTTCCTAGGCATTTATACAAATTTCATTTGAACTTTAAAAAAAATGAAATTTATAAATATGATAAATTTTTATATTCAAACATTTATTTTGCAAATAAATATTTTATATAATATAGGGATATTAAAATAAAAAATTAATAAATATAAGGAAAGTTGGATAGAGGAATTTAAAGAAAAATGATATTTTCAAAATTGGAGGAGATTAAAACATGGATATAAACAGTGGCGAAGCGTCAAGTTTACTACTAGGGAAGCAATTAAAAAAATTTATTTATTTTAGTCAAACACAAATCATAAAAATATTTGGATTTATAGGAAAATGATCAAGTACTGCATTATAAAAGTTATCGCTAGATTTTAAATTTTTTAATAATTTTTTTTCAATCGAAAATCAAAGATAAATTCGATAATCGATTTTGACACATCATTGTTTCTGCAATAAGATTTTATTCTTTTTAAAGATGAAAAACTCTGTTCCTGCTCTTGCTGTTGTTGAAGCCAGTTAAGATAAATTTGCATAATTAAAAAAAAACTCTTTAAAACTTTTCATCAAATCGGTGCATATTAAAACTTAGAGTATTTCATTAGCATTCTTTTTCTTTCTAAATTCAACATCCCGAAACACTAAATTTAATTCAGTTTCCAGCTTCTGTAAATCGAAAAATTGAAAATAAGTGTTTTTTAATTATCTAACGGAAATTTTTATTATTTGGAAAATTTTACTAATATCTAACAATTCGACGAATTTAATTTGGTGTAATACATAATGAAATTGAATTAATCAAATCATTTTGAATATTGCTTGATAGTCCAATAAAAACCCCACTATTGTTTGAATAGTATTCTGAGAGCAAATAAATTAAATTCAATATAATTTTCTCTATTTACTGAATTAGACGATTCATCATCACCACGGAATACGAGCTCCTGAATTCCAAGAAAACATATATAGTTGATCAATATTTCTCTATTTGATTTGACTTTAGAATCATGCTGTTCGATTGATATTTTGCGCATCAAATCTATCATATTTTCAATACGATTTTGGCCAAATGTTTTTAATTTCGATTGCAAATGAGTGGTAGATTCTTTGGTTTAACTGCCTTTGAAAAATTATTCATATCCGAAAATCCTTTATAATTCAAAGTATATTTTTTGTTTGGGAATAATAGGTATGACCAACAATATAGA